GTAATTGGTTTGTTTAACTTTTGTGTTTCTTCCTTGGTCAGTCTTGGGAGGTTGTATTTTTCTAGGAAGTTGTCCATTTCTTCTAGGTTTTCCAGCTTGTTGGCATATAGGTTTTCATAGTAGTCTTTAATAATTCTTTGTATTTCTGTGGAGTCTGTCGTGATTTTTCCATTCTCATTTCTGATTATGTTGATTTGTGTTGACTCTCTTTTTCTCTTAATAAGTTGGGCTAGAGGCTTATCTATTTTGTTTATTTTCTCAAAGAACCAGCTCTTGGTTTCGTTGATTTTTGCTATTGTTTTATTCTTCTCAATTTTGTTTATTTCTTCTCTGATCTTTATTATGTCCCTCCTTCTGCTGACTTTAGGCCTCATTTGTTCTTCTTTTTCCAGTTTTAATAATTGTGATGTTAGACTATTCATTTGGGATTGTTCTTCCTTCTTCAAGTGTGCCTGGATTGCTATATACTTTCCTCTTAAGACTGCTTTCGCTGCATCCCACAGAAGTTGGGGCTTAGTGTTGTTGTTGTCATTTGTTTCTATATATTCCTTGATCTCTATTTTGATTTGTTCATTGATCCATTGATTATTTAGTAGCATGTTGTTAAGCCTCCATGTGTTTGTGAGCCTTTTTGTTTTCTTTGTAGAATTTATTTCTACTTTCATACCTTTGTGGTCTGAAAAATTGGTTGGTAGAATTTCAATATTGTGGAATTTACTGAGGCTCTTTTTGTGAGCTAGTATGTGGTCTATTCTGGAGAATGTTCCATGTGCACTTGAGAAGAATGTATATCCTGTTGCTTTTGGATGTAAAGTTCTATAGATGTCTATTAGGTCCATCTGTTCTAGTGTGTTGTTCAGTGCCTGTGTGTCTTTACTTATTTTCTGCCCAGTGGATCTATCCTTTGGGGTGAGTGGTGTGTTGAAGTCTCCTACAATGAATGCATTGCAGTCTATTTCCCTCTTTAGTTCTGTTAGTATTTGCTTCACATATGCTGGTGCTCCTGTATTGGGTGCATATATATTTAGAATGGTTATATCCTCTTGTTGGACTGAGCCCTTTATCATTATGTAGTGGCCTTCTTTATCTCTTGTTACTTTCTTTGTTTTGAAGTCTATTTTGTCTGATATTAGTACTGCAACCCCTGCTTTCTTCTCACTGTTGTTTGCCTGAAATATGTTTTTCCATCCCTTGACTTTTAGTCTATGCTTATCTTTGGGTTTAAGGTGAGTTTCTTGTAATGGGGGGTACTTTTAACTTTTGAATTTGTCTAAATGAGTTTCAGTAAGGCACGACTAATCTGTATGGGTAGAAGTAAGAATGTTGGTCGCCTGTGTGGTGGCAGGAGCACTGATGGAACAATGGCATAACACAACTTCCTAGGATGCTGAAATTTCTATACCTTGTTTGGGGTATTGGTTACCAGGGTATAAAATGGTTCAGAATTTATTGAACTGAATATAGTTTGGGGAGCATGCTGGGATAATAGATTAAACATTTGGAAAAAAAATTCAGTTTATCATATTAAACCAGACTCAATTTTCTGACAGATTAAAAACTGAAATGCTAATCATGAACTCATTTAAAACACATACACATATGTGTGCCCATACACAGAAAATGCCTGATATTTGAAGTATGGGAGTAGTTTCTGAACTTAAAATCTAAATTACAAATCAGATGAAAGATTTGAAACAGATAAAGAGCTAATATTCCCACCATATAAAGAACTCCTGGCAATTGATAGGAAAAAACCATTCCAGTAAAATAGGGACAAAGGATATGAAAAAACAATTCGGATATAAAAAAAAAAATCAGTTTCAGGAAGTATATTCAGTGACTTTTATTAGATAAATTTTATCCATGTGCCCTTTTAAATGTCATTAACTGTAATGTTTTCTAAGTTAAAAAGGAAATTAAGTTATAAAATACCAGATTTCTGATTAGTTTTATTAATTATACCCTATTTAATATATTGTTTTCCTTTTTTATTTTAGCACTTCAGAATCCAGAGGTGGTGGCCCTTCGAGGTGGACTAAACACCATCTTGAAAAATGTGATTGATTGCCAGTTAAGTCGAATAAATGAGGCCCTCATTACTACAATTTTACATCTCCTTAATCATCCAAAGACTCGACAGTATGTGCGAGCTGATGTAGAATTAGAGGTAGGATCTTTAATATTCTTTTCTAGGTTTAAAATATGATTTTAAATATATACGTTTACTTTGAAATTTTGAAGTTAATGGATGCAGTACAGCATTAATTATCACACCTAAATTAACTAAAACTGGGCTTATTTCCAGCAATAGTTTACAGCAGTTTGGACTAAAATCAAAATATTATTATTAAGAGAATTTCATCAATGTGTAAAGAGAAATTTTTTGTTTTTGTTATCTTTGAAAACTTTTCTAAAAAATTAGCACACAAGCAAAGTTACTTAGACATTTACCATTTATTTAAGAAGTCCCATTTCTTTTTAAGAACTTCAGTATGTTAATTTTGTGTGAATGGCTACTGCTAATTATATACCATTTATTTATTAAACTATGCTAAAGTTCTCTTTACTTTAAAGTATTTGTTAGCAAGAATGACCATGTATATAGAAAAAGAAATAGAATACCTATCTTTCTTTTTAAAATACTCCACAATTTTTTTTTAATCAGTTTTTTTTTACAGTTAGCCTACATAAGGCTATTATATGCTCTTTTTGTAATAAAATGTATAGTGGAGCTTGAAACAGAATTATCACAGACTATATTCTTATAATTTATTTGTATGAATATATACTACATGGTTGTCTATTGCAGATATCAGTCAGAGTGAGTTAAAACCAAGGATTTGTTTGTATTTGGATATGAAGTTATACAAGGTATAAAAGATTTATTGTTCTCTAGTTTGTCTAAATCATTTTATGAAATTTGCCTTAAATGTGATAGTTTGGGCTTTATTAGGGCTGTTAGAAATATTTAAGACTATGAAATCGACAGCCTATATCATTAACAAATTTAAGTACAGTATTTTCCTTAATAAGTGATTTTCAATACATTGTTCATGGGAGTACAATGAGAATAACTGGCATTTTGATATCTTACAGTTTGTATATCTTTAAGTTTTTTCTTTATCAAGTAGAAAAACTAATTTTAAGATTGGAGAGATGATTACAATAAATGAAAATAATATGTGTAGGCATGTTTTTTATTCCTATGTAATTGTACAACAGATTAGCAAAGTTGTCATAAGAATGGAAAAACCTCAAAGAATATGGTAGACATTTAAGTACACTACTATCTTTGCTATATCTTGTTCTTTAAAACCATAAGTGTCAGTTTTCTTTTACCTTAACAAGATTCTCCCAGAATATCCTAGTGATTGAGAACATAGACTTTGGACTTTACAGATCACATTTTGATTTTTTGCTCTATGACTTACTATACTAGCTTTACAACTTTGGGCAACTTATGAACCTCTTTTGGATCATTTCTTCCTAGGTAAAATGAAGGTCATGGATTTTATCTTTAAGAATTATTGTGAACAATAAATATTATAAAATAGTAGTAGTAGTAGTAATAACAGTTCTCACTAATGTAAAGCTTATAGTGAGTTACAGAGTATTTCCAGGTGCTTTGCACATATTAATTTTAATCTATATAAAATATTTAGTACTTAGCACATTATATCCAACAAATACTGGTTGCCTTGGATATTACTCATCAATACCATCTTCTGCTTTATTGTCTTCTTTACCATAGAGTCTGCTGTTTAACAGAATATTGTCCCCATTTTTATTAATTAGTATCAATTTTCATTCTAAATTGATACTTTGATTTCCTTTTCTACATACAGAGGAACTACTTTTAATGCTGCTGTCCCTGTTGTTAGGCCCAGATCTTCCTCCTGTTAAAAAAAATCCCTTTTTTAAATTTGTGCTGGCTTCTTTTGTACTGTGTATGACATGTTTTAACCTTAGATAGAAAAAAAATGTGGATTTAGCATAATAATGTTATTAGAATAGACAGTCTGTAAGAGTTGTAAGTTATAATTTTTCATAGTAAAAAACAACAAAATTTTTAAACTTACACTTCAGAGTAAGATAGGATGGTCAATAGCATCTGCTGTGGGAAACTAGAAAAGCTGAGTAATCATGGAAATCATATATTTAAAGCAGTATAGAGCTGTGAAAGCAATAAGGACCAGAGGGAGGAAGATTCTTTGAGAGTTGCCTTCAAGATCCATAGATGTCCTTAAGAGCACTTGCAAATATGGGACACAGGCTAGAGGCTAAGAACATGACATGGGCCTAGGTAGAAGATCAGAATATTTGGCAGTCATAAGACTAGAGATGTGAAAAGTTTCAGACTAAATCTGATTTGTCCATTCAGGTATTTACTGAAATAAGTACCTGCCAGGCAAAAGCACTGTAGAGTATGCTATAGTTTTCAGTACATAGGATATAAAGGCCCCCTAGAAGGGAGGGCCATGGACAAAAGTTGAGAGGCCTCTAAGAAGTAGTGAATTTACATCGACTATATGCAGATTTTTCTCCTGGGTCTAATTACTGATCATTAGGATGTAATTAGAAGTTGAAAATCCAGGTAGGCTTTTGAAGGATCAGAAAACCCAGGAGGGCATTTTGTCAATTGTGTGGTGCTGAAGTGACAAAACTGGGTATTTCATAGTTAATTCCCTATTCTTGACATTTCTCAAATTCTGAAGCTATTCTGGATTTAGCTATAGCTAAAGATTTAAGTTCAAAATTTAAGAAATATGTAGAGCGAACCCCCAGACAGGGAGAGAGAGAAAAATACTTACTTAGCTGTCTGTTGAAATCACTAGAGGAACATACTTTAGGAACACAGGAAAACAAAAGGTATACCCAGTCTTATCAAAATTGCAATGTAGTCTCAATTTAACTCGGTTGTTGACTAGGATAAGATGATTAGTTCCCTTAGTCTACTTGACTAATAGAGGAGAAGATAAGCCATCTCTAGTCGAGATAACATCACTTAGACCCTTTTATAAAATTCACAATGTTTCAGTTCCAGTCATTAATTTGATATAATGTAATATAAAACATTCGTATCATACATGCATACATATCATACAAAATGTCATACATAATGACAAGAGCACAAAAGAAAAAAACATTCCATAGAAACATGCCCACAGGTAATCCATATATTGCAATTAGAGGGAAAAGACTTTAAAATAACCATGATTAATTTGTTCAGGAAAATGGAGGAAAGGAGAAAGAAAATAGATGAAAAAAATGGAGTTTAATTAGAATATACAAAATGAGTCAAATGGAAATTCTGCTACTGAAAAACATAATACCTGAAATGTCATGAAGATACCGCAGAAGCCCAAGCAGAGTCACATGTGGGAAAGAACTGAGCCCTGTTGCCCACAGCTAGTATATTGTGAGTAAGCCATCTAAAAGCAGGTCCTCCAGCTCCAGTCAGGCCTTCAGATGACTACAACACAGACCAATATTCTGACTGCACTCGGGTGCCCTAATCTGTTAACTACACAGCTAATCCCCTCCTAGGTTCCTCACTCACAGAAACCATGTGACATAATATATATGTATTTAACTATCTAATTAAATAATTTAATTAATGTTTCAAAGAATGAGACAAAAGCTAAAGGGCGTTCTCAGAAAGAAAATGCTCTTAAGACAAACAAGGAAATACAGGAAGGAAAGGAGAGGGACAGATAAGGTGCATATGTGACAAAATATAAAAGAATACTCATTGTCAAAGACAATATAGTAGTGTCATATGTATTTTAAGATATATTTAAAATTAAAATTAAGGCCACAGCACAATAGGCAAGTTTGGGGGTGTGGTAAATGAGATTCAGTGAAGTTCTAAAATGAGTGAGTTTAACAAGGTTGTTGAACATAAGGACAATATACAAAAAAAATAACTTGGATTTTTTTATAGTAGCAACAAAAGGAAAATAATTCATAAAATAAAATAAAATTTCAATAATGTTCACAAATTAGCAGAACTGTGTCTTAGTGGTCTTAGTGGTAGGCGTCAGGATAGTAATCTTAGTAATCTTGAGATAGGTAATGACTGAATACTAAGAATAAGGAGGCGTTCAGGATGCTAACATTTTCTTCATCTGGTGCTACTTACAGGAGTGTGCTTAGTTTGAGAAAGTCCATCGAACTTTACATTCATGATTGTGCACTGTTACATATAAATATATATGTATGTTATACTTCAGTTTGAAAATTCAGTTTGTACATTAAAAAAAGACTCGTACTCCTCGATGATGAGTTTGAAGAAATAAGTCTCAATAGTATGTATACCCATTTAAAAATACAGAAAAGTGAAATTAATTTTCACCTGTTATAGAACGAATGCATTTTATAATAAGGACTCTTTATTTTCTTCTTCTATCTGCTTTTATTTTTATTAGCGAATTTTAGCACCCTATACTGATTTTCACTACAGACATAGTCCAGATACAGCTGAAGGACAGCTCAAGTAAGTACCATTTGTTTCTAACAATTTTTAAGGTGGTGTATGTATTGCTATTAAACCTTTTAGATTTGCCTGATTACATTTAGAGCCAGAGCAGTGAAAGTTTAAGTAAATTTTTTATTTCACGGAGTTATGTTCTAGTGTTCTCATAATATAATTAACTGTGGTTTAAAAAGTTAAAAGTAAGCTTTAGGAAATTGAATACTTGGAATTAATTTCTTATTTTAGAAAAATGTAAGATAGGCTGCAATAGAAAGAAACCTAGATCTTTAATTGTTTTCTGTTGTAAGTATATTTAACATAATTACACTGAGATACTAAAAGAATGAAATAACAACAGGGAATATTGAAGTAAGTGAATTTAGTAAGCAGAAAGATAGACTGTAGAATTTTGGGAGTAAGGTTAATAGGGAAATAAAAGGAGAAAGCAAACATGTTCTAAAAAGTGAAGCAGGATAAATTTCAGAGTCTTTTGGAGAGAAAAGCACATATTTACTAAGTATCCTAGGATAACATGCTTTAATTAAAGATTCAAAGAATATACTATGTGCAAATGACACAATTTCAATAAATACACTGTGAGGTGTTCTCATAGTAGCATTGTTGGGTTGCAGACAAAATCCCTTATTTTTGATGATGCATAGTTTATAGTTAAAATTCCTCACTAACTTTTAGAATAGTATGAAATGGGGATATTTTTGTTGTTTTTCATTTTTCTCCTGAATTAAAAATAGTAGATTCATATCTTCAATCACCTCCCTTGCTGTGGGGTCTCATCACGCCCTAACATACCATGACCTGAACTAAGAAATCAAAATAGAATCTTCCATTGAAGACTTCTCAAACCTTATTACTGTTGAGTTATGAATTAGAATTATTAAGTGCCATTCTTGACTTCTACTTATGATACTTGGAAATTCTCTTTATTGATGGAGAGTGTAGGCATTTTTTATTTGCTGCATTACAAATTACTGTAAATATAGTGGCTTAAATAATACCAGTTTATTAACTCACAATAGATAGAATACAGTAGGTCAGAAGTTTTGTACAAGTCTTACCTAGAGGTTTTGTTGAAAAATCCATTTCCAAACTCATTCAGGTTGTTGGAAGAATTCACTTTCTTGCTTTTGTACAGCAGAAGTCCCTGACTGTCAGCTGGGGCCTACTCTCAGCTTCTAGAGGTTGTCCTCTTTCCTTGGTACATGGTTTCCTCCATCTTCTATCCCAGCAAGATTTCTTCAAATTCTTTTGTTTAAATCTCTCTGACTTCCTCCAGTTAGAGAGAGCTCTCCAGTTAGATCAGACCTACCAGATGATCTCCCTATCTTAAGGTCTGCTGGGTCATAGTTTATAGTTAAAATTCCTCACTAACTTTTAGAATAGTATGAAATGGGGATATTTTTGTTGTTTTTCATTTTTCTCCTGAATTAAAAATAGTAGATTCATATCTTCAATCACCTCCCTTGCTGTGGGGTCTCATCACGCCCTAACATACCATGACCTGAACTAAGAAATCAAAATAGAATCTTCCATTGAAGACTTCTCAAACCTTATTACTGTTGAGTTATGAATTAGAATTATTAAGTGCCATTCTTGACTTCTACTTATGATACTTGGAAATTCTCTTTATTGATGGAGAGTGTAGGCATTTTTTATTTGCTGCATTACAAATTACTGTAAATATAGTGGCTTAAATAATACCAGTTTATTAACTCACAATAGATAGAATACAGTAGGTCAGAAGTTTTGTACAAGTCTTACCTAGAGGTTTTGTTGAAAAATCCATTTCCAAACTCATTCAGGTTGTTGGAAGAATTCACTTTCTTGCTTTTGTACAGCAGAAGTCCCTGACTGTCAGCTGGGGCCTACTCTCAGCTTCTAGAGGTTGTCCTCTTTCCTTGGTACATGGTTTCCTCCATCTTCTATCCCAGCAAGATTTCTTCAAATTCTTTTGTTTAAATCTCTCTGACTTCCTCCAGTTAGAGAGAGCTCTCCAGTTAGATCAGACCTACCAGATGATCTCCCTATCTTAAGGTCTGCTGGGTTGTATATAACGTAACAATCACAGTCATGGCAATGATATATTTACAGGATCCAGGGATTAGGGTGTGGAATCTTTAGAGGATAGGGGGTCATTTCTAGAATTCTGCCTACTACGATGAGCACAGAATAAGACTGTAGTTTTTAGAGTTGGGTTGGGGGTTGGGGAGAAGCTAGAGGAAGTAACTGTCTACCAAAATCCTTTCTTTCCTCTTTGGTTCTATACTTCACTTTTCATTAAGTTTCTGAAATATGGGCAGTTTCTGGAGCAAGGTACATTATGGCCAAAGAATAAGGAAATGAGTGATTTTAAAAAACACTACAAATTTATCCAATAAGCTAGAGAATGAATTACCAGGCAATCAATACAAATATGTCACTAACATTTTTAAAAGAAGGAACACCAAAAGCTTAATCACACAGTTGCCTGATTAATTTCTTCCACCATCCCACCTCACCATTTTAATTTCTATTATATTCTCATTTGGTGCTATGGATCTTAGTGTAGTTTGTTTATGTGTATTTTTAAGCATTTCATTCATCTTTTGTAGACTGATTGCTCATGACTCTTTAATTTGATTTTCTGTCATTATTTTATATCCCTTCTGATTTTTCTTGCCCAGTTCTCTGGATTTCTGAATTTTCACAACTGTTCAGAATGTTATTAAGGAAGGAAAAAGATAGCACAGAAAAAAATAGACAGTTGACAGGGTAGAGATGGTTGAGGTAGCCTAAATAAAGAGTATAAGATTACTACTAAGTACTGAAACTGGCCAAAGCCATACATGGAGAATGTTTAAGGGATATAAATCATTCTATTGTTTAATTAATTGTTATAAACTAATAATGAACATAAAGGAAGAAGTGAAATGATTGGGTACACATTTATAAAAGAAGAAAATAGTTGGTGGTAATCTAGTTATTTAATAACATATCTAGTTATTTAATAACATCTCAGTGAATATATGGGTTGTTTAGCTTGCTTTCCAGAAATGCCCAAGTAAGTCTGTGGCAAGTAAGGATTTTGAAGTAAAGAGAATATATGTGGTAAGAATAAGAAGTTTATGTAGTAATTTGCTAAGGGTTCATCTTTCAACAGAGATGCTTATTAAACAGGATGATACTGTGTTTAATGCTCAACTAAAGGTGTTACTGAGCTAAGAATAGTTTTCAAAAAGAGTAGGAAATGTAAAATGTAGGACTGAATAGAAAATCACAATTTATAACTTATTTTGAAATGTGAATTTTAAATGGCAGAGAGGTTTAGTTACATAAGTGGTTAATTTGCTTTGTGGGAAAGCTGATCTTTGTTTTTTTGTAGCATGTTAAACTTCCTATCTAAGTATTTAAATGTTAACTAATGATAGCCCCTATTCTGATACAACAGCAGGAAAAACTCACATTTTATTTTAACATTTAATTTCTTTGATTCCCCCTCTTTTCACCCCTCCCAAAAAAGAGAAGACAGAGAAGCAAGGTTTCTAGCCAGTAAAATGGGAATCATAGCAACATTCCGGTCATGGGCAGGTAAGTTATTCTGTGCTGCTTGATAACATCTGATAAGACAAACTTGACTATTTAGAAACTTAAGAGTGTTAGGTATATATGTGACTATAGTTTGTTACCTAAAAGTACAATGTAGAATGTTACAAATAGTGAATAAGGAAGATAGGCCATTAGTAGTCCCAGATTTATTGAGAAGAGGGATTATGCATAATTTATCTTTCCATGGAATGAATAGCAAATATTTTCCTTAAAATAATACCACCACTAAATGTGTTATTTTATATTAATAATTACCCTCTCTCTCTTAACTTTGTAAAATAATTTAAGGGTTGGTATACCAAGGAGTGTAGCAGTAAGTAGAACAAGAAAACTTACCCAAACATTTCTGTGTACCTAGGTAACCTAACTAATAGAGATCTTTTCCCTACAAGTGACTATCCCAGCCATAGACTTGGCCTTTAGCCAGTATATTTCCAGGGACTTCCTCTAGTCTTACACTGTTTTGGTAAAAACCCCAGCCTTGCTATACTTCATGCTTGCCTATTTTCCTTTATCATCATGGACAGTCCAGGATTCTTTGAGGGCCCAACCATCAGGCATCCTTTTATAATTTATAGACTCCATAGACTCTTTGAAGATAGAAACCAACACAGCTCTCTTGCCAAGCTTAACTATCACTGTTTTTACCAAATAAATCACTATAATTTTGTTATCTAGCTACTACCATCATCATTTACCATCCTTCAGTTTCCTTGACATTAGAGCAGTTTCTGTCTTAACAAAAAAATGAATTCCATCCTTCTCTAACCACCAGTACAACCTAATTAACTATCTTCTCATTTTCCCTACTTCCCAATTGTACTCTGTGTCACTTTGTCTCCTAATCTCTGCCAATCTCTTTCTCTACCTCCTTTAAACATTTTTTGTATTGGAGCCCTTACGCACAGATCAATCATTGGACACTTCAGAAGGCTGGGTATTTTTCACCCTTTTATTGAAGAGAAATACTGGCATTATAAGTTAGCACTCCAAAAATATCTTTCTCACAGAAATGGTTCCTTAAATAGTATTTAGATTTTTTGGTTCTATATATGAGTTAAATAAGCTTTTGTATATTTGTGACATTATTTCTACGATATATTTCAAAATCCAAATAGTTGACAAATGAACTTTTAGAACAGTTTCTTCATGAGTTCTAACAGCCTATTTTCTCTATTAGTGCAGAGTGTAATATCTGTAAAGACTGTATTTTACTGTATACTCTCAAATTATTATCAAAGTTTGAGAAATACCATTTTGATGATTTAAGCAATGACATCTGTTAGATTCTAATTTGAAATTTGAACCTATATTCAAAGAGATTTTACAGATTATTCATAAATATATGTGTGTGTTAGAAGTGTTAGGGAACTTTGGAGTCCTTTATGACTTTTTAAAAATACTTCCTCCAACATTTTATTATCGAAAATTTCAGGTGTATAGAAACATAGTAAACACCCACACATTCTACTACCTAGATTTTGTTCTGTTTACTTTATTACCGATCTATCTCCCCATCCTTCTGATTTTATCAGTTCTCTCGTATTATTCTAACACATTTCAAAGAAAGTTTCAGTACTCTTGACTCCTAAACACGTCAGCATATGCATTATTACCTAGAGTTTAGTAATTCTCATGGCCCTTATGTGGTTATTTTTGTTTGTTTGGTTGGTTGGTTGGTTTTGGTTTTTGAGGTAAAATTTACCCCTCACAGTGAAGTGCATGAATCCTGAGTATATCATTTGGTGAGTTTTGACAAGTGCATATACCTGTATATTCAAGCCCTTTCAGGATATAGAACATTACCATCACCCCAGAAAGTTCTCTCATGTTCCTTACTAGTTAACCCGAGACCACCCTTCCCTAAGAAGCAACCACTGTTGTGTTTATTTTCATTATAGATAAATTTTGCTTGTTCTGAAACTTCATATAAGTGGAATCACAATGTATGTATACTTTTGTGTAAGACTTTTTTTAAAAATTAAGGTATCACTCATACATAATCTTATGAAGATTTCACATGAGCAACATTGTGGTTTCAATATTCACCCATATTATCAAATCCCCCCCATACCCACCATTGCAATCACTGTCCATCAGCATAGTAAGATACTGTGTTATCATTACTTGTCTTTTCCGTGCTATACTGTGTGAAAGGCTTTTTTTCACTGAGTATAATGATTTTGAGATTTATTCATGTCATTGTATATATCCTTTTATTGTTCCTTTTTATTGCTGAGTGAACATATCACTGTTTTTTTAAGTCCTCTTACTGTTAGTGAATATCTGACCTGTTTTTGTATTGACTATTCTAAATAAAGCTTCTGTGAGCAGTTTTATACAAGTCTTTTTGCGGACATGAGGTTATATTTCTCTTGGAAAAATACTTGAATTGGTGGGTCACAAGGTGGATATATGTGTAGTTTTATAAGAAACTACTAGGCCTTTTCTCAGAACGCACTGTTTTATACTCGCATCAATCAGTGTAGGTGAGTTCTACTTGCTCGGCGTCCCTATTATCATTTGGTGTTGTCAGTTTTTAATTTTAGTCATTCTTGTGGTATGTACTGGTATTTTATTGTGAATGTAATTTTCATTTCCCCTGATGACTAATGATATTGAACATTTTCTATGTGTTTATTGGCTATTCACATATACTTTGTGACATGATAATCATGTTTAAAATTGTTTGACTTAATTTTCTCACTTAAAACTTTGATCCATACAGTTTACTTCAAGTTGGTTGTACCCTTCTATGCATCCAATAAATTTCAGAATTATACTTTTAAAAGGCAAATGTCAACGTTTTTCACCTGAGGTTGAGCATTAAATGAGGGAGACAGACCATTGTCATACTTTTATCCAGTATTCTTACTTTCAGAGAATTACTCATCAGCAAACAAGAATAGTAGGCAATCAGATTCATGAACTTTCCTGAGTATGAAACAAATAGAAGGAATTAAATGATACAGATATTGATAATCTCTAATCAATAGGGAAATTCAGAGAATCTTTGAAATAAACTGTCACTTAATGATAAGCAAATAATATAATAATATAACTTAGTTTGGAAAAATGTCACAGATTTTATATTATACATACAATACATAGAAATTTTTTTGAAATTTAAGTCTGGTTTTTTTTTTTTTTTTGCTCTCTTTTTATCCTCTTTAGGTATTATTAATTTATGTAAACCTGGAAACTCTGGGATCCATTCTCTAATTGGAGTACTTTGCATACCAAATATGGAAATAAGGGTAAGTAAATGTTATTATGGTTGTTTTCATTCCTGGATTTTAACAGGAAATGTAAAACAGTTATTTCAGGTGGTGCTTTTTCCCCATAAATTTTTAATCTCTGTCATAAGCTTTTAAAAAGTACATGAATAAATAGTTATTGCTTAGTGAACCCTAAGGATATTATTATTCATTTAAAATACTGATCTTAAGAACTATGGCTGTATTAGAAATTATATTAAATATATGAAATTAAATTATTCTTTATTAATAAAAAATGTACATACAGAAAGACATTCTCATTTTAAAAGTTTCAAGCAATACAGAAATATGTTTAGGAAAAACTAAATATAGTATTTAAGTGTCTAATGCCTTCTATCATGTTTTATGAGTGGTGGTTTTGATTAAAATTGTGTCATTAATATTTATATGCTTATTTGTTACATATATTCCTTATTATTTCATTGGAATTTATGAAATAGCTAAAACAAATTGAAATTGGAGGGGAAAAAATGAACTCTTAAGTGTTCTTTTCCCCTTAAGTGTTTTTGTTTTAATTTTGTTCAAAGGAACAATATCTGCCCCTTTCTTATTTTCTTCTTTATATGAACCAAACCTGGAGTTGAAAATATTAGAAAATATTACCCAGGAAGGCCTTGCTTAAAATGTGAACTAAAAAGCATATAGACCATGGAAACAGAAATATGTGATTATAGATGGAGAGATCTAGAAGCAGTGAACTAAAGGTTGGGGCAATTCAGTTGACTTAATACTTAGCAAGCAGATGGTGAAAGAGTATGGTCTTTGGAGTCTGGCTGGCTGAGATTTGACTCCTAGTTTTATTATTTATAGCTCCATGACTTTGGGCAAACTTTTAACCTTTACATCTATTTCTTTGCATGCGCAGTGGAGATAATAAAAGTTTTATTGAAAAGACTAAATTGTGTATGTAATAAGCATTCAGTAGTTATCTGTTCTAAAACATAGGTCTGACATGGTAGTTTTCCAAAATAAAATTCTGTTTTTATCAATTTATTCTGTGAATAGGACATTTAAGAAATTTGTAAGCCAGGTTTTATTCCATAAAAGTAAATGAACTGTATTTATTTGCACTTGGTAGCGAGGTCTGCTTGAAGTGCTTTATGATATATTTCGTCTTCCTCTTCCTGTTGTGACTGAAGAATTCATAGAAGCACTGCTCAGTGTTGGTAAGTCTTGAGACGTATTGGTATCTATTCAAGTATTGTTAATTTTTATAAATGCCCTGTCTAATGAAAACAGAATTCCTCAAAGGAAAAATACTGAACTAAATGTAAATATTTTCTTTTCTTACTGCATCATTGTGGTGTGAAATTAATATTTAAAAATACCTCAAATAAATCACTTAAAATAAGAACAAATTTTAATATCTTTTCCATCACCCTAGCTTTTGCAAATGAGCAGTGAAATTAGTAGAAAGATGGACCAAAAAGAGAGATAATAAGAAATCCATTTAATTCTCAAATTACATTATCTAATTCTTGTCTTATTTTATTTTAGCCAAATGACTCCTTAGTCCCAAAATGAAGGAAATTAGATCTTAATACATTTACATGAATTTTTTTTCCCCTACATGCTTTTTTGAGTATTTTTTTTAAACCAACATTTAGAAAACTTATTTATAGCCTGGCTAGCTGATGGTTAACTGAAGTTTTTCAGTGGTATCCGTTTTTCTCCTAACCACCTAATTTTAACTGTTTTAGATCCAGGTAGATTCCAAGACACTTGGAGACTTTCGGATGGCTTTGTAGCAGCAGAGGCAAAAACTATTCTTCCTCATCGTGCCAGATCCAGGTAGCATTTAGTTATGGACATAGTTCAAATTTATTACAGTTACTATCTTTATGTTAAGTTATGTAATGTGTGGAACACTATTTAAACTGTTTCTGTGCTTTGTTTATTTCTAGGCCAGACCTCATGGATAATTACTTGGCACTGATACTCTCTGCATTTATTCGTAATGGACTTCTAGAGGTAATACTTAACAAACTTTATTTTATTCTATTTTATTTAATTTTCTCTAACAAAATTGTTTTAGAGCAACAGACAATATGTATAAATATATTCATATATACTATTTTGTAACTAGGATACTTTCTTCTTATTTTCAAAGGGTTTAGTTGAAGTAATAACAAACAGCGATGACCATATTTCAGTTAGAGCTACCATCCTTTTAGGGGAGCTTTTACATATGGTAAGTTTAACAATTTCTGTTAAGTTTTATACATTAATGTTTTAATTTATAGAACAGGATATTTTAACAATGTTACCTTGTATTATCTTAAAAAATAAATTTGCTTTTTTTTAATAATGTTTATCTTTGAATTACAAAGAGCCCTTGATGCCTTGTATCTTGTATTTTATTTATGAATGGAAGAAATATAAAAATACAAAATAAAATACTAAAATACTGATTTTTATACTTGGCTTTTGATGTTGACATTTTGAGTTCCATAAATCTAAATCTCTTTTAAAAAGACTTTCTACCTAAAAAGTAAGAAATTATAAAACCATAAATACTACTCAAGTCAGCAATCAGCTAGGATAGAATTAATATATGGCAGTCAGTGCCTGAATTTTAGAAGACTTTATGAAAAAATTTCTAAATATTACTGTCTTGTTTGAACACATTCCTCTCTGTAAACTGTACGTTGAGGTTTAGAGGATGGGAATCTTTACTCCCCCTTGTGATTGTGTGACATCATTATCTTCTAGAAACAAGAAGCTAGGAAAGTAATCTGGCCATTCTCTACTCCCAGCAAATTAAAACAGTGGGAATGCTAATTGTTTGCAAGATAGAAATTCCTATTTTGTTAATAAAATTACCTTACTGTTAATAAAATACTAAATAAAAGAACCACTTTAAACTAGTTAAAGAAGTAATCCTGTGGTAAATCTTTTAAAATTATGTTATGGCTTGCTGTTCTTGGTGGAGTACTTTTTGTTTTTGTTCTTTCAGTTCTCTGTACCTCCAGATTTTTGGAGTATTTTTTCCCCCCACATAGTACCTGGGCTTTGTGATTGAGGCGAAGAAAATTAAACAAAGATTAATGATGATTATCTTATCAATTAATGATTTAGCCCTTTGGCTCTGTTCTCCTTCAGCCCATCTATGAAAGAATTGAGTAATACCACACATTCTCAGTTTGATTATTTTCTTAATATGTTGTTTCCTTTATGGATATCAGTATCCAGAATTATTTGTTTATATGAAAGAATCTCTTTCAGAAATTTAATCTGTTCCCTTCCTTCATCCACCAGAATTCTGTGATTCCTCTGAAATATAAAAGTTTGAATATAGTGGTAGTAGTTCATTGCTTATTGTTCTTACATCTTTGGGCTTCTACATTTAATTAGTTATCTTCATTGGGAGAAAGCAGTTTTAGTGGTGGGATTTTGTTTGGAAAGCAAACATAATTTTAGCTATCTTTGCAATATGAGATAAATCTGTTTTGAAGAGGTGGCTTTTAAAACTTAAGTCAACTCATAAGTTCTGTTATTGCATCTGGCATTTTAAATACTATTTTTAACCTAATACTAGACCACTGAATCTAAGTTTTAATACATAGTCCTTTTAGATAATTTAAGAAATGAGTTTAATTGGGTACCACTTAAAATTATAATTTACTTCTATAATAAAGAACCTATGAAATATAGAGTTTATTAATGTAGTGTGATTCTGTTATCTTTGTATTTGTTATATCTCATCCCTGTTGAAAGTAAGTAGGATAAAATTATAAATAAATACATACTGGAAAGTAAGTCATTAATTTCATGAATTAAACCCCAGAGTCTTTAGTGTTTTATCTGTGGATAATCTGTAACAAAATATTTTTTCTCAGCTCTTATAAAATGTTATTTTTCATTTTAGGCAAACACAATTCTTCCTCATTCACATAGCCATCATTTGCACTGTCTGCCAACCTTAATGAATATGGCAGCATCCTTTGATATCCCCAAGGAAAAGAGACTGTAAGTATCAGAGCACTAGAAAAGCTTAGCCTGGCTTATTTAAAATCCACTTAAGTGACCTCCTCCTCTTTATAGAAAAATAATGAATATATATTGTGCTTGGAAGTTTTTTTAGGGAAGCCTTACAGATAAGAGGAAAATTAATACTTTTATTTAATAATTTGTAGTCTAGGCTACAAAGTATCATAGCTTAGTAAAAATCAACTTTTCTAGCATGTTTCTGGATGAGGAACAGACTTCCTGCCAGATCCCTAAAAATGTTGGTTGAGAGTATTCTGGGTCTATTTTATGTTTTGAGCAGCAATTCATACTTTTTTCCCAATGTCTAAATTATTTCAAATTAACAAAGAACAAAGACTAACAATGTATTCTTATATATGTATGGTTAAAAATATTGGTATTTAGTAACCCATACCACAGGGCTTGAAATAAGCTAAACTCTTAATACTGAAGGAAATAACGCAAACATTTATAAACAGAATGTATAAACTGAAGTATGATAATTCAGCTATAGCTGTTTTGGAATTCTAATGCTGATAATGAAATAAAATACGTAAAAATGGAATTGTTTGAAAAGTGCTAGTAGGAATCATTTTTTCGTTTGTTAAAGATTATGTCTAGACCAGGCCTGTCTCTTTCTTTTTTTTTCTATTATGATCAGAAAAATCTATATACTTGGACCCCATTTTTTGTAATGTTAGTGAAATACAGTTCATTAGCTATTCATAACTATGAATTTTGTTAACAGTTATAATTTCTCAACTTTAGTTAGCTTTGTTAATTCAGAAATACATGTAATTAATATTTTAATTCTGTCAATAAAAATAAAATTATTTTATAGATTGAAATTATATTATAAACTGAGGGCATTAGGGATCATTTTAGTTCTGACTCTAGGCTCACATTACTAATGGCAGCTTTTAGCTTTTAATAGTTTCATGATGGTAAAAGTACTTTCCCAAAGCCTGGTGACCTATAATTCTGGGCCCGATTATGGCCATGAATTTCATGGTTTATCAAGAATTCAAATTTATCTTCAAAATTACAGTAATAATAGCCTTCTTAGAATGGTTTTTTTGTTTATTTTTTTTTTTTAGCTCATTAAGCTATTTTTACTGATAAATACTTGATCTAAGTCTATCTTAAGGTTTTTAAATTTTAAATCTGATTTGTATTTACCTGAAGTTCTGGAGTTGAGATTTGATTGCTATCAAATTCTTGAAAACTGTTTATTAAACCATCACAAACAAGGAATAAAAAATAACTTTTAAAGCAATGCCTTATAGTTGCAGATCAGTGGGGAGTATAGACACTGTTCATTTAATACCAGAATCATTGATTATGTGTATGGGGATAAAATGAAATTATATTCCAACTTTCTGCTGTAAACAAAAATCAGTTTCAGTTGGATTATGGACTTAAATGTGAAAAGCAGTTTTAAAACTTATATAAAAAAACGTGGAAAACTAGGTTTCTGACTTTGTAGAAGGAGCTCTTAAAACCAGTGTACAGAAAGTGCTCACCACTTTAGAAGAAAAGATAGTAAGTACATTTAGTTAACTCTTGATTTTGTTTTCTTTGTGGTTCCAATTTTTATTAAATAATTTACTTTTTAGTAACAATTTCTAGCCTTGATATGTTTTAATAGAATAATTTACCAAAATGATTTCTTTAAATTATGCTAGCTTCGCTAAAGAATTAATTGAATTTTTTTCTACTTAGGCGAGCTAGTGCAGCCTTGAACTGTTTAAAGCGCTTCCATGAAATGAAGAAACGAGGACCTAAGCCTTATAGCCTTCATTTAGATCTCATTGTTCAGAAAGCAATTGCAACACACCAGAAACGGGATCAATATCTCCGAGTTCAGAAAGATATATTTGTTCTCAAGGTACTCACATGAATTTGTAATTTTTAACTTAGTTTCCTAATTTTTAACCACTTGATTTTAGTAAGAATATACTTGCTTGAGTTTGCAGTTCTGTTCATGTGTATGGGTTTTTAAATGGCTTCCAAGGTTTATGACTGGTTAATTTAGAACTGTGTTTTTGTAACCCTTGATAATCCACCCTTAAGTGAAAAACATTTTTTTGTTTTTAAAAATTCAACTTAGTTATCTCTGTGAGAACAATTTGCCATATTTTTTTTAATACTTTCTGGTTGTTTTAGGATACAGAGGAAGCTCTTTTAATGAATCTTAAAGACAGCCAAGTCCTTCAACATAAAGAGAATCTTGAATGGAATTGGAATCTTATAGGGACCATTCTTAAGGTATGATAGGATACTTCTTGGTTAAAACTTCATTATCTTCATTTTATGTTCCTTGTAATTCATTGTAATTGTTATGTTTGAGAATTGATAAATACATATATAATATAACATATTGTGTTTTTCTAGTGGCCAAATGTAAATCTAAGAAACTATAAAGATGAACAGTTGCACAGGTATGTAAGAACTGTTTTTGCATCTAAATTTAAAGAACTTAGGCTTGAATTATATTATGCCTGGTCCCTGCTAAAAGTAGTAAGTGGTGTTTTAAGGATACTTATATTCATTTTAATAGTTGTTTAATAGGTACATATATGCATTTTTTGTATATAGTCTTACTTTATAAAAAATACCAGCTAATTTGTTTTTTTATAGTTATTTACATTCTGATTTTAGTTTTGGAACAAATGAAGTTCTTGAGATAAAAGTTCCTCAGATTAGAGTAATAACAGCAATGTAGTAATCTTAACCCTAACACATGAGGGTGACTAGTAAGAACTTAGTGTTTCCCTTGTGAAATAATGGCCATTTTTAATATTCCACCTGTACTTGGATTTGCATCCTACTTTGGAGGGCTGTCCATTGTTCCTGCTCTTTACACTCCCCATAACCAAGTGGATCTCTCCACACCTTTCATAAAACATATGAAAGTTTTTTTATATATAAAAAATCATAAAACATAAAACATATTTATATTTATAGCATATGTAGTACTTCAAACTGCTGTGCTATTCTCTGCTCTCCCATGCATTTTTTTATTCCTTCTGACATTTGACTAATCAACCAGTACTGATCTCATTGGAGAAGAGGGTCCTCATGTTTTTGAGAAGTTCATGTCTTAATATCATGTGATGATATTCATCTACTCATGTTACTTAGAATCTATATTATGTCATAAGTAATATATAGAACATATAAATTACATGGGAGTAAAGAAGTATAGCACTAACTTCTCGTACTCCCTAAGATCAGAGACGAAGTCTCATTCAACTTTGTTTCTCCAACTCCAAGACCTGGCACCTTTATTGAATTGGATTGTAGTGCATGAAATTAAATTGAACTAAATTACATGAAAGATAGAACATAATGTTGAAAATTATAACATTAAAATATAAATTATGTCCATTGTTTCATAAAATTCATTTGCCTAAATTCTACCTGCAACTTTAATGCTTGTTTTTTTTTGCCTAATTGTGAAAAACTACAAAATCATAGTATGGTAATATTTGCTTACAGTTACTCTAATAATCAAAGTTGCTTTGTACAGCCGTGGGACAAAGTTCTTCATATAATACAATGGAATAAAATTTATGTCCAGGTGACCTCCTCATATTTATCTAACCTTATCTTCTAGCTATCTTATATTTGCATTTTTTCCTGTTAGCCATCTTAATTCTCAGCTGTTTCTTTCAGGCGTTTCACCATAAAATTCTTATTTCGTGAAAGTAGCCTTTGCCTTGAAGGTTTTTTTGTTGTTTTGTTTTATTTGTGTGTGGAATGTACCAAATGTGTTTATTAGATTTCTTGCCATTTACTCCAGTAGTTGAGACCCAAACATATTCAAAACATTATTATAGCATAAAGTATAATTAAGGTTCTAAAATAATTGTTTTGCTTTCTTATTTTGCTGCTAATTTTATTTTGGTCTTAGGTTCGTACGAAGACTGCTATATTTTTATAAGCCCAGTAGTAAATTATATGCCAACCTGGATCTGGATTTTGCAAAGGCCAAGCAGCTCACAGTTGTGGGTTGTCAGTTTACTGAATTTCTTCTTGAGTCTGAAGAGGTAATAAACACTTTCCAGGACACATGTTTTTCATAGAACCTGCCCCCTTCCTTTTATTTCTGAGTATATATAACCCATATTTGAAAATATATGAACCCAGACCATGGCATTGGTGATATAGTGGTTATCACAGCTGCCTTCTAAGCAGTTGGCCTGGGTTTGATTCCCAGCCAACACAAACAAATGGGTCCTAAAAACATATGAACCCAGGACCTAGATTTGAATCCTGACTCAGTCAGGATCTGACTTTGGGCAGGTTATTTGCCTTCTAGAAGACCTGGTTTTCTCCTTGTATAGTGGAAAATAATGCATTTCCATGCTAGCACTGCATTGAATGGGATTAAAATGTTTGGTATCTGTTACTAGTAATTTAACCATTATCATTAAATTGCTTAGACTTGATTAAAATCAGTTTTTCAATTATAGGCACTAAATACTTTTCTAATAAAATTATAATATATTTGCTTTTAGGATGGGCAAGGATACTTAGAAGATCTAGTGAAGGATATTGTTCAGTGGCTAAGTGCCTCATCTGGAATAAAACCTGAAAGAAGTCTTCAAAATAATGGCTTATTGACTACACTTAGTCAACACTACTTTTTATTTATTGGAACACTTTCTTGCCACCCTTATGGAGTCAAAATGCTGGAAAAATGCAGTGTATTTCAATGGTGGGCATCCTAGATTCTCTTTCCACACTTACTTAAACTTTATTTTTAATGAGATGAGGAATGTTATGCTTTTTAGTCTGCATATGTGTGTTTGGTAAGTTTTATTAAAATAAAAAAAAGTGAAGTCTTGATGCTTTGATACTCTTTTTATGTGATGTTTGTCATTCAATGCTTTCTTTTAGAAATGCTTGTTCATAGTAGGATTTTTAAAATATTTGTTGAATTAATACATAAGTACAGTAATTTCTAATAACCTTCATTATTGTCATCTTTTTCTTTAGTCTTCTTAACCTTTGCTCCTTGAAAAACCAAGATCACTTGCTAAAACTGACTGTTTCTAGCTTGGACTATAGCAGAGATGGATTGGCTAGAGTAATCCTTTCCAAAATCCTGACTGCAGCCACTGATGTAAGTATAATATAGGCAGTAAAACTATTTTTTTAACTAGTTAATTCACTATAGATTTTGGTCAAGCAGAATTAATTATAAATTTTAAGAACATGGGGTGGAATTTAAATTTACTTTAAAATTTTAGTTCCTTCAAGGAATGTCATATGATACCTATAGTTAAAAAATATATATGTAAAAATATTTTTTAAAAGATTCCAATCAAGGACTCAACCATCAGTTCAAATCTTCTTGCTCTTTACATGTAGCAGAACTGTCCTGAAACAAAAGTTAAATAGGCTATCCATGGTGAAATTTTGTTTTTCTTTTGTGTTTAATGTTTTCATTTATCTTTACAGGCATGTAGGCTTTATGCAACAAAACATTTAAGAGTATTGTTGAGAGCTAATGTTGAATTCTTCAATAACTGGGGAATTGAATTACTGGTGACCCAGCTACATGATAAAAGCAAAACAATTTCTTCTGAAGCTCTTGATATCCTTGATGAAGCATGTGAAGACAAGGTGAAGGTTTATTATTTTATTTATTATTATAATACTCAAATTTTAATAGAAAATTATGTGAAATTATAGTATAGCATTTTGGATATAGAGAATTTGCTATCTTGAGCAATTGTTAATTTGCTAATAATTCTTTTAGGCCAATCTTCATGCTCTTATCCAGATGAAGCCAGCTTTATCTCACCTTGGAGACAAGGGTTTGCTTCTCCTCCTCAGGTAAATTTTAAGTAAATTTTCCTTTCAGTTATATTTTTCCATTGTGTTTTCTCTGGCACTATACATTAAAGTTGGATTCAAATTTGAAAAGGAAGCATTCTAAAGAGTTTAGCTGTTAACTTCTGAAAGAAACCTATTATAGCACCTTAGACATTCCTTAGTACTGAAATTCTGTCTAATCATTGCTTTCCTTAATGTTTCTTCTACATTTTTGTGTCTCCTCATACTTTTCATGATGTTTTCTTTACTGTGATTGGACTCATTTGTTTTTGTTATGAAAATTTATTTGTATTTAAAATTACATTAAATAATAGTTGACCTTTTAAGTTTTAGGAAGGAGCTGTTATTCTTAAAAGTCTGTTAGCTCCTTCAACATATTATTATTGGAGATATTTCAGCTCCTTAAACATTTTTTGTCAGACTGAATGTTAAAACTACTGCTTATTTTAATTTACAGATTTCTCTCCATTCCAAAAGGGTTTTCCTATCTGAATGAAAGGGGTTATGTAGCAAAACAATTGGAAAAGTGGCACAAGGTAACTTCCTGTGAATTGAATAGTTTCAACTTTGTTTATATTATCTTGCAAAATAGATTTGTGAATTTAGAGGATTTTAAAAATATTATCAGTGTTTTCAAACTAAGGTTAAATAGTTAAACATTCATATGAAGTCAAGTCCTAAATTCTGTATAATTATTTGTATTTATATTTTATGTATTTTTTAAATTACAGTTATAGTGAACTGTTGGTTTTGTGTACATTCTATTGAAATTTTGCCTTCAACTTAATTGATAAAATATATTGGTATAGTTTGTTGACCCCTACCATCATTTCTTTCATTCTTGGGTCCTTTATTTTGCCTTTTTAAGGTAAAACTCAAATAATTTTAGTAGAAAGTTTGTAAACAGTTCTATCAAGCAAACAGTCTGAATAAACTTCATTTTAGGATTCTACTTAAATTGGAGAACAAACTTATTGCTGTTGTAGATAATAGGGAAATGTAGGAAGAAGGGAATAGTTTGAAGGTATTAGATAACTTTATAACTTCTTTTGCCTGGTCATCACTGTGGCTTCATTTTGTTTGAAGCATTATAAATTGTCAGAGCATCTTAGAAATCCATGGAATAATCAATTCTAATGTAAATAATTTTTAGATTTTCTATCATTTCAATCATTTTATTGTTTATACTGAATCATATTTCATAAGTGAATCTCATTTTTTAAAAATACTATAACTAAAACGTAACTTCAGGCATGAGGTCTTTCAATAACTGATGAATTGGAGAATTGAGATAAGATGTGATAGTTTTATTTACTAAATAGAAGATATTTAAACCAATTACAGAAATAAAATTGGTCACATTATTGTACAATTGTAATATTAGGAAATTGCTTATCATATCTGGTATAGTACTTTCAAATAGTAGGTACAAAATATAACAGCTTAAAAGCATGTTCAGTGTGTAAAGAAACACGAAGGGTTAATGATTCTCTTAGGGTTCAGCAAACCAATATATTGTATATCAACTATACTTCAATTTAAAAAAAAGAAATGTTAGGCTCAGGAAAGGGCATGATTATTTGAAATGCGCGTGTGGAGTAAGTAAGCAAATAAATTGGGAGAAAGGTATCAAGAATGAGGGAGTAGAGTAATAAATCTGTACAGATTATTGAATCTTCACAGACTTTTGAAGAAAGCCATCTTCCAGTGTAGTTGGGGCTAAGGTCAGTGGGAAGTGTTAAGGTGAGACTAGAACAATAAATTAGAGCTAGATTGTAGAAGGTGTTATATAAACTACATTGTCATACTGAGGGATTTCAGTTTTATAGGAAATGAGGGAATAATTATAAGTGTTTGTAATCATAGAGCTGTGCTTTAGAAACATGACAGGTTGCAGTGTAAAAGCTGGAGTTTGATTGTCAAAGGTTAAATTTAGAAATATGGAGACCTGGTTAGAAACAAGAATTGATAAGAGCATAAACTTCAGTGGTTGCGGGTTGGATAGAAAATAGGACACATTTACTGGGCATTTTTGAAAAAAGATAGGATTTGGAGACTAATTGGATATAATGAATGAGGAGTCTGACTTAACTCTTAAGGATTCTAATTTGAATGACTGTATAATGGATTACTATTAAGAGATTGTTTTTTCACAAAGTGTTTGCAGCATGAGATTAATGAATTTTGAATATATTTAACTGGCATATCCTATGGAATGACCAAGTGGTGGTATTCAGAAAATATTTGAATGTGGATCTGGTGTTCATATATGTACTGAAGATGGCAATTTGGGAGTCATCAGTTTGTAGTAGTTGATATCAGAAGTGAAATCACCAGGGAAAATGTTAAAAACAAAAAAGAAATAAAACTAGAAATTGCTCCCTAGAGAATACTGGTTTAATGAAGGGAATAAAAGGGCAAAGCTGTAGAGAAAAAAACTGTCAGAGAGAATGGTGTTACTAAAGCATGCTTCAGGAAGGAGAAGCCAGTGGTATATATTCTCCAGAACTGTTACATAAGGTGAATACTGGAAAAAAGGCTGTTGAATTTGAAAGGTCATTGGTGGACTTTGCTAGAGCAGTTTCAGTAGAAAGTTACAAACATGCTGAATTGCCGTTACAATTAGGCAGTAAATGGGAGGTCTAAAAAGAAAGACAGTATAATCTAGTCTCTCAAATTAATTAGAGAAAGGGAGAAAAGGAAGGGAACTAATTGCCTGCCATTGAACTTAGTGCATTTTAAGTATTATCTCACAGCAACCCTATGAAATATATTCTATTATTACTGTTTTGTAAATGAAATTTAAGAGGCTGAGAGAAGTAAACTAATTTTTATCCTAGGTGACAGAGCTTGAAAATAGCAGAGCAGGGGCACTTCTTGATTCCAAAGCCCATGCTCTTTCCAGTATATTCAATTTCCTCCCAGTAGTTTGTGGCATGCCAAAGTGAAGTGAGACTGTCTCTTTTTCAAGGCAATAAAACATCCAGGCCAGTATAATGTTAAAACTCATTCATTCACTTTAAAACTTTATTCCCCAGAGCCCAAACCTGATAAAGATTAGGAAACCTACAGTGAAGGGGGAGGATATGATTAATTCATCATCCTCTGTTGCTCATTCTTTTTCCCATTTTTTAACTGCATGTTTTGAACCTGTCCAGGTTTGGAGCAGGAGGAAGAATAGGTACGGGGTCATGGACAGTCTTACTCAATTGGTATAGTTGTTTTCTGGGATTGTCAGTTTTGAGTATGGCCAATTTCAAATGTTGATTCATTTACTGGAGGGTAACTTGCATGAGTTCCTTAGAGACCTCACCACTGCGGATCTCTCATTTGCAATTCCCTTGAGTAAGACAAAGACTCCTTTGGCTGCATATGTAATAATGCCTCCTAGTAGCTACAGGTCCATCCATCCCTTGATTGGGGTCTTCTTACCCATCCAGGTAGATCATTTTGGGCAGAATCCTCTTGGTGATCCATATCAGAAACTCAGTGCATTTCAGAGCTGTAAACCTTAATCCTAACTTTTGCTAGTGTTTTCCAAATGAATGCCACTGGTCAAAAAGATCAGGCAATACCACATGAGTGTTAACTACTGCTTAAAGCTCAAGATACATGCCTTAATTAGATTTTTATACTGAGATTTTCATGTATAAAAGAGTATGGTAGTAGTAGCAGTAGTAATATTTATGGTATGCTGATAATAATTAAAAGCTCATATTACTATTGCAAAGTAAATATGGGTCCTAAAGGAAAAGTAAGTTTTTAGAAGCTCTAAGAGGGGTTTAAGGTAACCCACCAAATTCAAGTAGTCTAAAATGGTTTAATATGTAAAATAAGTCCCCTTATTCCATCTTTTCTCAAGGTAATGTCTGTTAATTTCTTTTGTATGCATTCAGAGATGGTCTGTACATCTGTGTATATAATCTTTATTTAAGAATACAAATAAATTCTATTTACAACTAAAAGTAAAGCTGTATTTAACTTCTTCATTAGCAGTATATCTGAGAAATTTTTCCAGAGTTGTACATTTAGCTCTATCTCATTCTTTTTAATGGCTCCTTAGTACATTATATAAGTGTATCTTAATTTTTATACCCACTCCTGTATTGATGTGCATTTACATTATTTCAACTTTTTAGTTTTGTATACAGTGTTTGTTTTATAGTCTTGCATATGTATCTTTACATACTTGTGCAAATATGTTGGATGAATTTCTAAAAGTGTATTGTTGAGTCAAAAGTATGGGAATTTAAATTTTTGATAAATACTGCCAAATTGCTTTCCAAAGAAGTTCTACTAATTCCTTATAAACAGTTTCAAGTGGAAACCTTATAATAAAGATGGCAGTGAGACTGATTCTAAGTTAAGGAATTTAACTAGAAGTTCTCCAGACTTTACTTGGAAATATTTTTTATATTTGACTGAAGTCAGTAGGGAAGAGATACTGTTTCTTACCAAAAGGTGCTAAGATGATAGAACTCAGTTAATAATAAGATGAAAAAGAACAGTATAAAAAAATAGAGACCCAAAATATTAATTGAAAGTGGGGAAAAAAGTATACACAGGTAGCTTTTGGGTATGACAGACCATTTTATATATTCATAATTTGTTCTGTCCTTCTAAAAAATTTCTTAAACTTTCTGAACAGATAGTCATTTTTCTCATATTTATGCTACTAATATTTACTAGGCACCTAACAAACTATAAATTTAATGAATGTTGTTATGATACTGTAAACAATTAAAACTATTATCTTCTAGGAATATAATTCAAAATACGTTGACTTGATTGAGGAACAACTTAATGAAGCACTTACTACTTACCGAAAGCCAGTTGATGGTGATAACTATGTTCGTCGGAGTAACCAAAGGTACAATCCAGTTATTGCTGGTCCTCAAATGTAAAATTTAAAACCAGTTTGTAAGACATCATTATTTTTAAAGAGTTTTGTGAGTACTTGAAAAGTAACTATTTTTCTTACACTGACTTAGGGAAAATCTTAAAGCACAGCATTGATCGCTCAAAAATTCCAGTGGCATTCTTGCCATGCTGAATACACTTCNGGGTAGTTGACACACAGTATTACATTAGTTTCAGGTGTACAACACAGTGATTCAACATTTATATACATGATAATTCTAGCTACCAGCTATCACCATACAAAGTTGTTACAATATTTTGACTATATTCCTTATGCTATACATTATATCCCAGTTACTTATTTATTTTACAATTGGAAGTCTGTACTTTTTATTTATTTATTTATTTATTTATTTATTTTTATTTTTATTTTTTTATTTTTTTAGAGGGCATCTCTCATATTTATTGATCAAATGGTTAACAACATGAATACACTTCTTTATAGAGCATTCAGATGCCCTCCATGCTCTTACCCTAGTCTATAGCTCTAGTCTAAGCTCTCTCACCATTAACTCCAAGACCAGCTAAACTATTATTTTTCTGGAGTAATCCTCATGGCCTTCCACTTCCATATTTTTATTTATGCTGGGGGATTCTATCTAAATCTACTTATATTTAAGTTGCTTTATTACTAATCATTGTTTTAATTTAGCATATTTTAAATGAGCCAATAGGTATGTTACTCATCTTTATTACACTAGATTACAGCGTCCTCACGTCTACTTGCCCATACACCTTTATGGACAACTGGTACACCACAAAACAGGCTGTCATTTGCTGGAAGTACAGGTAAAAACAAATTTGCTTATCTTTAATAGCTACAGTAGTAGAAAGAAAAATATTAATATTGCTAAAGTATTACCTTTGCAAAAATGTCTCAGAAGCCTTAAAGTCAGTGGTGTACTTGATTTAAAGCTGTCCAACTTGTAATTGACTTAGTCTGTTTTTATAATCCTTAGACATATTACTGGCTTGTGCGCATTTCCCTGACTTAATGTGTCCACCTTTTGCATAGCTAACTTGTTATATAGAGTAAGTAACCCAGTGAAGGTCTGAGTTCTTTCCTTTATGGTTTGTTGGGGAAGCTGATCTTAGTAAAAACATACTGAAAAACTGACTTTTTTCATTCATCTTGTTGGGAAGTTATCATTGGTAAGGAACAAAGTATAGTTGCTGTTTATTAGTGTAGTGCCTCACTATGCTCATATACTTAAGGGAATTTAGCAGGCTTAGGCAAGCAGCTGTTCTTTGAGTATTAATATGCATGCCAAATTTATGACTGTGAATATGACTTGTTACTGAGTGTTTTCAATAAATATAACCTTTTTCTTATTTTAGAAATAGTTATAAATGTATTTTTATGTTTCTCTGAGTAGTAATCTAGCAGTTTAGTTCTTTATCATACCAGTGTTCATCTCAGGAGCAAAAGTTTTGCATACATACACAAATGTAGTTTTATACATTTTTATATTATATCCATAAAGACTATTGGGGCATGTATCTATAAATGATTTTCTCAGTGTCATACTTATGTAGTATGATAAAATCTAGGCACTTATTTATTATTTTCTATTTAAAGAAATAATTATGGCTGACATTTTTATAATACTGGGTACCAACTACTTTGTTAAGCATTTTATATATAATAATTTATTAAATCATGAAATCTTATGAGGCAGGTGCTATTGTATCTCTGCTTCAGAGATTAGGAAATAAAGGCATGGGGAGATGAAATAACTTGCTCAAGGTACATAGCTAATAAGTGCTGACTCTAGAATATGAACTCAGAGTACATGTATTAATGCTGCTTAAGAAATTTTATACAGTTATTTTTAGAATTTTAAGGATGCAAAAGTTATTAAATGCAAACCATTTAAGGATTTTAAGATGCAGTAAAAAAATACATTAAAAACATATTGTTACTCACATGGGTTTTTTTCTTTCCATTCACCAGAATATTGTTACAGAACTCTGTCAGAGTGTTCGTACACCAGATTTGGATAAATGGGAAGAAATTAAAAAACTGAAAGCATCTCTTTGGGCCTTGGTTAGTAAATGCTTCTGTAAGATCTTCATAATTTTTAGATTTTTTTTCTAATCTTCCCATTAATACTAAATAAATTAAAATCACTGTATTTGGAACTTATTCTTAGGTTAATATTGTAACTGACCATTTAATATTTATATTGATAATAAATTTATATTAGTAATAACAAAATAATTAAACTTAATTTTCTTGCTAAGATGAATGGAACTTTGACTGGTAAAGTTCCTTACTTGAGGTTTGTGTTCATATTTTTTTCTCACTCACATTTTTTTCTCTCTCATAGATGGATTTAAAATTTTTGTTTTGAAGGAGTTTTCCAAATCTCTTGAAAGTTAACTTTGTAAATGAATTTGATATAAGTGATTTGTTTTCTTTCAGGGAAATATTGGTTCATCAAACTGGGGTCTTAATTTGCTACAGGAAGAAAATGTGATTCCAGATATACTAAAACTTGCAAAACAGTGTGAGGTTCTTTCCATCAGAGGGTATGTCATTTAACTCAGAAATCTTGCTATTATGTATATTGTGGTTCACAAATCAGTATGAGGGATAAATGTTTTATAATTCAGTGTAGTCCTTTAAAACTATCAATTTACTGAAAGCCCTCATGACATATTTTTAAATGCATTAAGTATCTAAGGAGCTCCTTGTTTACTTCAAGGAAGTAAAAAATTCCATTTTTGTCATTATAATATTGAAGTTTATCTGGCAAGTAAATAGTGAAAGTGTAGGATGTGTTGAAATATTCCAGTAACTCAGATATTCCAAATTTATGCTAGAAAAGCTAATATATGTATGTTTTTTCATAAGATTACATTGTGTTATTTTTAATTATTTCATTGTAATATTTTTATTAGAGGTTTTCATGTTATTTTTTCTAAATTATTTCTAACTTGTTTTAATACATTTTTCCATGAGCTAGGCAATTTGTAATGGCTTTTAAAGAAATTTTAAATTACATATATCAAACTAATATTTGGTGGTTCCATTAAGAATCTCAGTTTGGAATTATAAACTGTCATTATTACATTTTTTTATACAGGACCTGTGTATATGTGCTTGGGCTCATAGCCAAAACCAAGCAAGGTTGTGATATTCTAAAATGCCATAGCTGGGATGCTGTAAGGCATAGTCGCAAACATCTGTGGCCAGTGGTTCCAGATGATGTAGAACAACTCTGTAATGAACTGTCATCTATCCCAAGTACCCTAAGTTTGAATTCGGAGTCAACTAGCTCAAGACATAATAGTGAAAGTGAATCTGCGCCATCAAGTGAGTATTGAGACAAAGTCATAAAAAGTTGCCAAAATTAATATTTGTATTTGTAATATCAAAATTTAAATAATATTTATTACATTCCCAATTAACTTCTTTCTAAGATAACTAGGCAGTAATAGCTTCTTAGACAATGCATATCTTTTTATAACAGAGATTATAGCCATCAGCCTACCTTTTTCTGTCCCCTTGCTTTTTAAATAGCTTCTGGACAGTCCTACTTACAGAGTTAAATAATAAGCCATGTGCCAAAAGAACCATTCCCCTTTTTGCTTGTCATAAAATCTAGTAAGTAAATGTTTATTTGCCTACCTTCTTCACTTACATGATTTTTTACTCATTTTTCAGAGATAGAGATTGTTGAACCAGGATATATTTGTTAAGAGATACTTACATGTTCATTTTTAACTGAAAAGCTACATTTTAAAATTAATAGTGAAACTGTTAAAAGAGTATAAAGAAAAAGTTTGTTGTTTTAAGCCCTCTACTAAATGCTGTTAGGCATATAAAATTTAACACATGGTTCTTTTTAAGAAGATAGTGCAACATTTATCAAACCATATTTCACCAGATAAGATGCCATGAACTATAAGATGTACCAGTATTTTATGTACCACTAAAACAGAAGAAAACAGTGCTGCCTATAAAACTAGCATGTATCACTGACTACAAGAAACATCCAAATTTAGAGTTATTAGGTGCGAAATTATGTACATCTTAGAATTGACAAAATATGGAAATAGAATGCAATACGTAAGTTTATTTAGGCTTTTATTTTGCTTTCTTTCCATTGAGTCTTTTATTAGTGTTAGGCACTGAATTTAGTGAGTTTCTTAATAGTGAAGGCAAAATGAGAAATAAATATAATTGGTTTAAACATGAGTTTAAGATGTTGTGGCTTGGTTTTTTGTTAAGTATATCTTGTTTAAGATTGGGAATTCAGTTCTTATAAGATTAATTTATCCTGCCTATTGTGATTTGAAGAATAAACCACCAGCAACTGTGAGGATCCATGGTCAAGTCTTCTTTTTCCCTTTAATTTTATTCCTGAGTATTTCAAGGTTTTAGAAACTCATTGGGATAATCAAAGAAACTGTGTAACTGTGCCACAGTGAGTGCTATAGCTTTGCTTTGGAAATAAGAGGTCCTCATAATGTTATCATTTTACATTTTATTCAAGTTCAAACTCTGTACCTCAAAGAAGCTCTTTATATGTGGTTCAACACTTTAACCCTTTATTTTTGAATTTTTTTACACAAACAGAAATTTCCTAAAATATATCAGTAATAGTTATCCTGATTTTGTTGTCATTTTCTGTGTGCTTTTATTCATCAATCATTTGATCGTAGGTATGTTCATAATGGAGGATGACCGATTTGGCAGCAGTTCTACTAGTACATTTTTCCTTGACATCAACGAAGATGTAGAGCCAGCATTTTATGATCGACCTGGACCTATAAAGGATAAAAATTCATTCCCTTTCTTTGCTTCTAGTAAACTTGTGAAGAATCGTATCTTAAATTCGCTCACTTTGCCTAATAAAAAACATCGTAGTAGCAGTGATCCAAAAGGAGGGAAACTGTCATCTGAAAATAAGACAAGCAACAGGAGGATCAGAACGCTTACAGAGCCCAGTGTGGACTTTAATCATAGTGATGATTTCACACCCATTTCCACGGTACAGAAAACATTACAATTAGAAACTTCATTTGTTGGGAATAAGCACACTGAAGACACTGGTAGTACTCCAAGTATTGGAGAGAATGACTTAAAATTCACCAAGAGTCTTGGTATAGAGAATCACAGAGAAAACACAAGCCGAGAGAGATTAGTTGTAGAAAGTTCAACAAGCTCACATATGAAGATACGTAGTCAAAGTTTTAATACAGACACTACAACAAGTGGCATAAGTTCAATGAGCTCAAGTCCTTCACGAGAGACAGTAGGTGTAGATGCTACGACTGTGGACACAGACTGTGGAAGTATGAGTACTGTGGTAAGTACTAAAACTGTTAAAACAAGCCACTATTTGATGCCACAGTCTAACCATCTGTCTCTCTCCAAATCAAACTCCGTGTCCCTGGTGCCTCCAGGTTCTTCTCATACACTTCCTAGAAGAGCACAGTCCCTTAAAGCACCTTCTATCGCTACAATTAAAAGTCTAGCAGATTGTAACTTTAGTTACACAAGTTCTAGAGATGCCTTTGGCTACGCTACACTGAAAAGATTACAGCAACAAAGAATGCATCCATCCTTATCTCATTCTGAAGCTTTGGCATCTCCAGCAAAAGATGTGCTGTTTACTGATACCATCACCATGAAGGCCAACAGCTTTGAGTCCAGGTTGACACCAAGCAGGTGAGCAAATATATGTTTAAAAATGAACAATAATGGTTGCATTTTAACCGAGTTAAATGTAAAGCATTTATATTTACATAAGCCTTAGAACCGACCTATTATAATTGTTTACTATGGTAGGCTGTAAGCTCCTTGTTACCCGATATGATTTGAAATGGATTCTTGCAGCTGCGAGGGGGGAAAAGAAACTTCTTTAGGTCCTAAAAATAAACATACATGCTTTGTAAGGACACACAAGTCACAAGCTTTTTTTTATTTCTCGCTTCTGCAAGGATCAATTTTAAAAAGAAGCATGTCGGGGGAATCAGGAGCTTAAGACCTACAATAACAAACAACCTTTTCAGGTAGGTCAATTTAAGGCTCCAGAAGTTGACCTCTTTTTTTTTTTTCTTTTTTTTAAGATAACTGAAAATTTCAGTGAAATTCTTTTCAGTTTGTTTTAAGTAGCTGTGATTAAGTAGGAACCTAATGAAAGGTAAATGAATTACTTGGCACTCAGGATTCAGCAGTAGCAGTTTTCCTGTACTCAAGAACATTTAGTAATTTGTGTGTCATATCTGAAGATTATATTCAAGTTAGTCAAAGTAAAAACTTCAGATTTTACCTTTCAAAGATAAGCAGTATTAAATTTGATTGTTGCAAAACTTCTATACCATTTTGTTGTAGGGGCAAATACTTCTAAAAATTTTCTTAATTTTGGATTATTTATTTACATTTGTAAACAGACTAGTATTTTTCAAATAGTTAGAATAGTGCCTGCTACATAGTAAGCATTCAATAAAAGTAAGCTTGTCTGTCATAATTGTCATTATAATTATTGGTTGTTACTTCTTTAAAGAAATCCATTTTGCTCTTTAAAAACCAAATTCTTAAAAATAAGTTGTTAAGCAGTTTTATTTCAACAATGCTAATACATTTAGTATAAGGGGTTCCTGGTAGCAGATAATAAATTATATCTCCAGTAGAATTTCATAAATTAAGTAGTAATGTCTGCTCTAACTGGAATTTACCAGCTTTGGCAACTTCATCAGTTCAGATCACCAGACTTCTCAATAGCTCACCAATATGTATCTGTGTTGTGAAGTTCACGAATTTCATTCAAAGGAGATATCTTTGACCTACATTCAACATTTGTTGACATTTATTATATATCTAACAAGCTTGGATATCAGGTTTTCAGGCCTGTAGAAGCAACAATTAGAAGCTTCTACTGGTAGGAACACTGTAATGAGAAAGAACAGATGATAAAACTAGGTACAAGAAGAAACGTCTTGTGACAAAGTATCTGAGAGCTCAGACCGCAGCAACCAGAGCTCAGGCACCAGCAGGCTGGTAGCACTCGGCTGGGGCAGTAGGTAGCACATGTGCCCTATAGGTGCTGTTAATTATACCATCCAGTTAGGGTTCCTGTAGCTCATCGAAGCAGACATTTCTATCCAAACTGTTCAAAGTTGTAGTGTTTAAATATTCTTCATAGTAAACCAGAAATGATAGCTACCCTGAGTCATTACTACCTAATCAGTCTGGGTCTTAGGACATTATTTCCTATATTCCCTGTTAAGATAGGAGAAGGATATTTGAAAATTTTATTCCTGGAGAAAAATGCCAAGTTACTGGCATTATACAGGAGAGAAATAGGTGTTTTCAATTTTTTGAGAAGGAAAAACATTTTTTAAAAAGGCAGTCAAGAGAAACAGAAATAGCTATAAAAAGGCATGAAAGTCTAACAAAACTCCATGTTTATCAAGTCTTCCATTTTTCAAATTGTATTTAGTACTTTGTACCATTTTCCATGGAGGAAAAATTGTGTTGGCCTTAATATTCCCATTCTGCTTCTATCCTTTAGTTAGTTCAGAAAAAATGAAAATGAAGGAAGATGACTACAAATTTACATTAAAATTGTGGTTTGGAATCCAGGCTAAGAAAATTTTTTGTTTCCTTACAAAACTAAAACAGTAGGCACACTGATACCTGTGCTATAATAGCATGAATTCAGCAGTCTTAATCATATCTCACTGATACATTTCCATGGGTCATAGTCAAAAAGAAACACTGAAACAGGAATCCTTAATCCTAAATTCTAATCCTGGCACAGAGTAAATGAACTTGGACAAAGTTCCATAAATTATGCTGTAATGTCTCATCTGCCTGGAATTCAACAGCCTTGCAGACCTCATTAATCCAGAACAAAGCCAGGCAAACTTCTCTGTTGCTTGCCAGGATAAATCTATGTAGTAAAGTTCATGAATTTTAAAATATATAAGCCTCAATTACCTCATGTAAGGGAAATTGGACTAGAACAATGGTTTTAAGTGGTTTTAAGCTTTTAAAATGTTGGTTTTTAAGTGGAGAAGCCCTTTCTTGACAAAAAACATTTCTATGGAAAACCAGTATGAGAATAGATAAAAATGGAGCTACTCTGAAGTAGGGATTGGGAAGGCAAGTAATCCAGTAATTCCTTCCTCCATCTCCCATAATCCTGGAAGAGTTTAATGGAGTAAGAAAGTTGTAACAGTGCAATTTTAAAAACACTGGCCTATTATGAAATTTGTGAATTTTAATTGAGTACTTTCAGTTGGAACTTAGAAACTGAGTGATTTTTGCTATGATAATAACTTATTTATGAAGCATTTTGTGTGTGCGTGTGTGCCTTTACAGAATAATTCTTTGTTTTAAAATCAGGCTAAATTATTGCATTTTAAATGACTTGGGTTTCCAAATAGCAATATACATAGACTGTGAAACCTTGCATAGTGCCTTGTATTTGCAAAGCTGTGCCTAATAAGTATTTTAGCATGTCTGTTGCATAAATAGAATCTATATCGAAAGGTATATCTCATGGAAATACCAATATACCATATTTGCTATGGAATGACTGTCAGAAGTGCATTAAGGAAATGCCAGTGCTTCATATAAGGCTATCTCTTGTAATATTTACAAATGATACTGTGTTACGTAAATCTTACATGGCTGAAGCATTAATTACCATGCAAAGAATGAAATAATCTTATTTTTCATAAAAATATTAAATAGAGTTAATAGATATGTCCTTAGTTTCATGATAGCAAATCTAGCAGTCTGAAGTGATTGTGAAGGTAGTCCTTGGATCCTCCCTCTGACTTCTGAGGTCATTTTTGTTCTTGTTTTTGTTGTTTTTAAACTCCCAGATGTTGAAAGTTACCTTAATTGCTCACCTCTTCACTTTTACCTGGGAAACTGTAACAATTGTTTTTGGTTAATACTCAGTGTTACTGATGACCTTTTGTATATCAATTTATAAAAGCTAAATATTTTCAAGTGTTTATATATTCTCTGTAAACTAGATGGTACTATTCAGTACTTGACTAGCTACTTATCTTTTATGAAGGTATGAAAATAAATTATAATTTCTGTATATGATTAACATTACAAACCAAGAAACTAATGCAAGTGGTTTTTCTATGGTGTTACAGGTTTATGAAAGCTTTAAGTTATGCTTCGTTAGATAAAGAAGATTTATTAAGTCCTATTAATCAAAATACCTTGCAACGATCCTCTTCAGTGAGATCCATGGTGTCCAGTGCAACATATGGTAGCTCGGATGACTATATAGGTCTTGCTCTTCCAGTAGACATCAATGATATATTCCAGGTACCAAAAATTCTCTTATTTTCATATGAGTTGCTTTCCTATTTTTTTTCCTTAAATTCTGTAACTGCTTATTATAAATTATAATTTAGTATTTATTTGGGGGAAAGTATTTTTAAAGGCAGATTTGTTTAAAGAAATGTTATGATGAAAATTATTTCACCTTTCTCAGCTATTCCGTACATTTAAAATTTTTTAATTTCTCCAAGTCCCATACTTCCTTCTCTTCCCATACTTAATCAATATTTTATTTGATGTATCAGTATATTTTCTATAGAAATTAAGTGAATTCCTAACCTTGCTTTTTAGTCACATTTGACTTATTTCTTATTTTAATTGAGATATAATTGACATATGACAATGTGTAAGTAATGCACAATAGTGTATTCCTTGTTTTTTATTAAATCCTTGGTCCTGTTTATCCTATAAGCGCAGCACATGTTGTGCTCACTTATACAAGGTGGCCCTCATCCCATGAGATACAGATCTCTAAATGATAGATAATTAACTCAGAAGTCAAGGTATTTTAGATAAATTCCAGAATAACTATTTCAGTAACCATTTAAGTCACCAAGAATAGATAAGGACTTTAAAACATTTTTTTTCTCAAGCTTTAATAATATAGCTTTCTTCAGTAAACTTTTCATTATAGGTTCATGTTCTATAGTAATTGTGTTAAAATTGCACTTCATTTAATTTTGCTAATATTCATAAAGTGGACTTCTTATGATAGCAGGACTCACCATGATTTATGTATCTTTTAGGTTAAGGATATTCCCTATTTTCAGACAAAAAACGTACCTCCACATGATGATCGAGGTGCAAGAGTGTTTGCTCATGATGCAGGAGGTAATTCATGATTTTTGTTCTCATGAGACTCTTCTTCATGGTAAAAAGAAAACATTTTTTAAAAAGTTATTTTTTTAAAAAAAATTCTTTTCAGTAGACTGACATTAAAAATTTAGGTTTATTTATTTTTGGATTAACTAAAAATTATACTGAAATAATTATTTGAGTCAGTTTAAAATTAAACCACAATAGTTTATGTGAGGGAGTTAAAGTGTTTTTCTACCTTGCCTTTCAGAAAGACAAAAATCAATCAGTTGCTTATGTTTTAAATGATAATAATAAGTGAAAAAATTCTTATACTAATTTTCATAGGTTTAAGAAACAGCTGCTCAGGGAAAGGAGAGACATGAAAATTACATGATCTTTCTTTGTCATGAACTGTAATATTTTCATGTATGCATATCAGCTGTAGGTTTAAAGCTTCATATCCTTGATTTTTTAAATAAGCACTTCTTTAGACTCAGAATTACTTATTTTTAATGCCCATATTGAAGATAATTGAAATAATGCCTTAATTGTATAATTTAATTTTCCATTTTGTATTTAAAACCTCCTCTTAAACTAATATAAACCTATCTGCTGACTTAATTATTTCCCTAATTTAAAGCAAATTATCCTTTTTTCTCCTTAGTTAAAGTTAGATTTTAAGTCATAAAAAGAGTTCTAGTTTTCTTTCCTTATTTCTCTTCTTTAAAATTTCACGTCGTTTAAGGCATTTGGAAGAGGCGTCATTGATACTGTCTTTATCAGATTATGTTTTATATTTACTTATGCACAGGTCTTCCATCTGGAACTGGAGATCTTGTAAAAAACTCTTTTCACTTGCTACGACAGCAGATGAGTCTTACGGAAATAATGAATTCAATCCACTCAGATGCTTCTCTATTTTTAGAAAGTACAGAAGACACTGGACTACAGGAGCATACAGATGATAACTGCCTTTATTGTGTCTGTATCGAAATTCTGGGTTTCCAGCCCAGTAACCAACTAAGTGCAATATGTAGTCATTCAGGTAAGTGATTATGGCTTTCTAGATGAATCCACCTGAATTTGAATCTGTTCCATTTACAAGTAACGTCCTAGCTCTATTGATCAACACTCTTGCTTCATTCTCATTTTCTCCACCTTAGGAGTTCAGTCACTCAGCATCTCCCTATTGGAGTGTTAGTGTTTCAGTCTCTAGTTTTGGCCTCTTGCAATTCAGCTTTCATATTCTTGTCTGGGATTAATTTGTTGACAGTTCTTTACTGATTCTTTATGCCCAGCACACGAGGCTCTGTGTGTGATCTGTCTGTTATCTTGTTTCACCATTCTTCTACCTTATTGACATCCCATTACTGACTCACTTTTCAAACTAGAGTTTTTGAACAACTTGTTCATGATTCTAGGCATAACAAATTTATTTTCCCTGCTGTTTCCTCTTGCCCCTCTCCCAACCTCACACATGCAACCTCACACACACACACACACAGACACTCCCAGTCTATTTGACAAGTCCACTTCATCCTTAGTGTCAGGAGTATTTTATCTGTGCAGCTTTCTCTGACCTCTCTTAAGTCAGATATCAACACTCCTTCTCTGCTCATTGACCTTGGCACATAGATCTCTTATGATAATTACTGGTTGGTTATTTTTTTCCCTTCCACTCAGTAAGTTCTTTCAGGTTATGGTCTGTTACATCTTTGCATTTTGTATTTCTGATACTTTGCTGTATATGGCTTTACAGAGTAGTCATTGTTTTTGGTGACGGAGTAAATAAAGGGGACCAAAAGTCAGCTTTTGTGTGATTTAACAAGTGACATAAAAATCTTCCTTGACTTACAGTGGGGTTATATCTCAGTTAACTCACTGTAAGTTAAAAATATCTTAAGTCAAAAATGCATTTAATACACTTAACCTCTTGAATATCATAGCTTCTCTTAGCCTATCTTAAATGTGCTCAGAACATTACATTGGGCTGCAGTTGGGCAGAATCGAGAGAGTTATAGTACTATATGTCACCAGCTCAAGAAAAGATCCAAACTCAAAATTTGAAGTATGGTTTCTACTGAATGTATATTGCTTTTGTTCCATCATAAAGTTGAAAAATTATTTAAGTTGAACCATTTTAAATTGGGAACCATCTGTTTTAGCAATTTCAGATTATTATATGTGTGTAAAGTATTACCATAGATAACTTTTCTTGGTAAATATCACTTTGCCACTCCCAGAAAAATCTAGTGATGACCAAAGTTCTCTGGGTCACTCGTCCAAATTTCCCCTTGGTATTCTGATTCAGACCTTCCCAGCACACTGATGTACCACAGATAGGATATGGGAGTGCTGAGATATTAATCCTCTCAGTGGCCCTGTGTCCCAATAGGGCCTGGATTTGACATATCTTAGACTAGGCACTTCCTCTGAACAGCTTTGTCCAAGGCCCCAGGTTGTTGTAATTCTCATTTTCTATGAGTGAAAGGGCTGAGCACTTTTGTTCTGATATGCTGCACATAGTAGAGAAGATACTATTTTAGATCATCTGGCTGTACATCATTCATAACATTTTAGTTCCTGTAAGTTCTACTTCATTTACTCATTCAACAAATACATACAGAACATTTACTGTGGTGTTTTACTATACAGTTTTCTACTTATCAAACAAGAAACAGGGAAACTAGCCCCCTATTACCCAGTCACAAGACAATCACAGCTAGTCCTAATCCATTTGTAAGCTATAGCTGGGAGAATAATCAAGCAGAGTATCACAAAGTTTGGGACTTGTGAGAGACATGTTGCAGTCAGAGAGGCTGTCACTTTGGCCTGGCTATGAGAGCCCCTTGGCTTTTTTATTCTACTGGAATAAAAAATACTCTAGTGAAGTATCAGATTGAGGAACAGCAGGGGAAAAATAACTCTTAATTGGAAATGATTATAGTTTACTACTGATACCCATCTCAGAAGCGTGAAGGAAAGGAGGCTAATAGTTAAGTTTTTCACTGAATATTCATTCATTCTTGCACTCAACGTGATACTTAATGATTCCACTATCATGAGTAAGGCATTAAACTAGGTGTTTTGAAAACAATTGTGAGAGAAAAAAAATAAAAATAACACTATTCTTATTCTCTTTGAGCTTTAGTCTAATGGGGAAAGAGATGGACTGATTGATCAGTCACTCGATCAATCAGTTGATTATACAAAAATACAGTATTGCATTTGTAATGAGTGCCATCAAGGATAGGTACATGGTCTTAGCACAGGAATATAACCAAGGAGGCAGGTCAAAAAAGAGACTTCAGGAGAAGTTACTATTGAGCTGTGGTCTGAAGAATGAATAGAAGCTAAGTGAAGACTAGAGTATAGAGAATTTTAAAAGAAAGTGGGGGCAGCATGAGCAAAGATCTTCACTGATGGAGCAAGCATGGGAAGTGGAAGGGACTAAAAAGACACCTGTGTTAATTGAGCTCAGAAAGCAGGGGGAAGGAGATACAAGATCAGCCTAGAAAGGTAAATGGAGACGAGGTCCCACAGAGCCCTTGCAGTTTAAAATGTGGTCAGTGAACCACAGCAGCATCAGCAGCATCTGAGAGCAGGTTAGAAATGCAGAATCTCAAACTTCACTCCACACACAAAATCAGAATCTGCCTTATAACAAGACTCCCAGGTTATTCGTGAATACAGTAAGGTTTGAGAAGCATTCTATAGGTATATTAAGTATTTTGTGTATCAGAAAGAAGACATCCTTATTTTCCATGGCAGATTGCAAAAAAAGTAGTTCCTCTAGTATTTGGTCATTTTAAAGGGATGTCAAGACTTGAATCCAAGTTAGTTCATTCCCTAAAACTCATGGAAGTGGTTCAAAAAGGTTTAACTCAGAGGAAAGGCTATTAGAAAAGGGTAATTAGTGACATGGTATTCTGTGTCTGCCACCTTCACAAATGTTTATGCATTATGTGGTTCTTGTATACGAGATAATATGTTCACCTTTCATAATTTAGTACTTATTTCTGGTGGGTCTAATTTATGTATATAACCACATTTGCCCTTCGTGTAGCTAGCCAACTTAGAGTGGGAAACCTTACTGTTTTAGACCAGTCCATCTGTAAAAGAGCATTAGAAAAAAATTATTCAACTAAAAGATAATGACAACATCAATTTGCTCTTCTAGATTATTAAATTGACAATTTGTGAGGAGTGAGTAGAAACTACATTGGGAAGAGGTGGACTCTGAAAAGATGGTGGTTTAAAAAATTTCTTTAGCTGCAGAACCCATGTTTTAATCAAAATCTTTATAAAAGACTAGTGGTATGTAGATGAAGGTGTAAGGGAAAGGATGAGGTGGAGTCCTATGTACCTGGCCTTGCCCAGGTGATGAAAAAGGGGGCTTGGGGTTCAGGAAATGCTAGGACTCCCAAGAATACTGAAGACCAATGGTGTAAACATAGAGCAAGTGAGTTTTGGTGTCAAGAAGACTTTAGACTCAAAGCCAAACTTTTCCATTTAATTAGTTATTTGACCTTGGGCAATCTACCTCATTTTGATGAGCTTTTTAGTTTTTATTTTTGCTTAAACCTCTAAATGGGAATAATGATTCCTACCTTATGGTGTTCTTTTTGGTATTGAATAATATGTAAGATTAGCATTCAGTAAATCCTCTGTAAATGGCAATTTACGGTAAGTTATGTTAGAAATAGTATTGGTTCATAAATTCTGATTTATGAATCAAATCCTTAATTTTTTCATAAATATCATTTCAGCATTTTCTGTAAACTATTTTAGGGCTTAACTACTTTCTTATAGGAAAAATTTAGCTTACGAGTTTCTGTATTAGCCTATATGGGTTTATATATTACTATTTTTTGTTTAGAGCTTTTAATTTTCTCCCACATATGGTGGCATTTAGCTGCATCCAGCCATATGCTTTAATGCAAGTAGTAAAGAATATATCTAGTCTCTTAGGGTCTGGTCTCTTGTATGTTTCACATCTCCATTTTTAATTAAGAGATAAATAAAGCTAAGCTAGAATATTAATAAAAAGAGAAGAAACAATAAAAGCAAAGAACTTACAGTTAAGAGGTTAAACGAAAGTCAGAGATAAAATGATTTAGTTTATGAACAAAATGTTTCATCCAAATTAAAAATAATCCTAAAATGAAATGTCTTGTGTAAAAGTGTGTCTGAGGTTCATTGCATTGAATACTACTTTAAAAAAAAAATTAGCTATCATTGATACACAATCTTATGTTGGTTTCATATACACAACATAGTGATTCAACATTTACCCATATTATCAAGTCCTCACCCCCTCCAGTGTGGTCACTGTCCATCAATATAGTAAGATGTTACAGAGTCATTAACTGTATTCTCCGTGCTGTACTACCATCCCCATGACCAACCTATATTGCAGTTGTGAATTATTGTGCCCTTTAATCCCCTTCCCCCTCCCCCGCATCCTCCCTAAGCCCTTCCCCTTGGTAAGCAGTAGTCCCTTTTTGGTGTCTATCATTGCACTGAATACTTTTTAAAAGAAGATGGAAGTTTCCTTAAAGGTAAATGTCATCAACCTGTTTTGCTTTCGATGGAGTCATAGACATTATTTCCCATGCATAAAGAAAAGTAGGCCAACTATCTGTTCCTTTCCCAATTCCAAGAATTTTGGTTTTCCTTATCCTGCCTATTTATAAATAATGCTCATGTTTTGCCCATATGTCCTGTGAAGTTTACATTTAATACATGTAATTATTTCATTAAAAAATGTTTTCATATGGTTTAGCATGTTTCATTAAAAAAAATCTATATAGTAAAAGCCTTCTGTTAGGTTATACTCAGGATCCTGTTTCAAATCCCTAAATGAGATAAGCTAATTATTTTGGAACCTTAAAGAAATGAATTTATTTATTTTAAATGAGACTGAATGATGTCTTTAGAAATAGGACACGATTCTAACAGGTTAAAAATACTAGCAGTTATCACCAGTTAAAGGTGAAGCTGAAATAAATCATTTTATAACTTTTCAGAAGTGTAGATTGAAGAAAGTACAACTTATTGTTCCTTTTACTGGAATATTTTGCATTGTACTCCCTGGGTAGCTCATCAGCTGTCTAAAATAATGTATTAATCCCTTATTGGGTTATTCAGTATTACTGGTTTTTAAGTATTTTTTTAGTTCTGGAATCTTTTGGCAATAGTTGTATTTTTTTTAATGATCTGTAATTTAAATAGCATGAGTTACTTTTAAGAACTTGACAGACACATGATTTCCTTAATAATCAAAATTTTAAAACTCTGCTAAATTTATGTATCTTCTTTTCCAAGGAGCCAAAGTATTTTCTGCTTAGTTTTATATACATAAAAATCTCAGGAAGTGCTTGGAGGTGAGATGAGGTGGTAATATCTATTCTGTGGAAAACAACATAAGGAGAGGAAGTATCTGTTGACATTTGTATAGTTTCCTGGACTTTTTAAAATATAGCTTTTTTTCTCTGCTCTGACATCATGCTATAGTGGAGAAAGTACTGGACTGGCTTTCAGGAGGACACACCTTCTCGCTCAGGGTCTGTCTCTTCTCTCTCAGTCTCTTTTCTTTCATGAGACAAAAGCTTTAACTAATTTCCAGTATTTCTTATAGTGTTAAGGTTGCCCAGTATTATTCCCTAAAATGATAACCAAAGACTTCCTGATTTTTCTTTGCTCTGATCACTTAGTTTAAGTGCTCAAGAAAACTTTAAATCAAAAAATTTTAGCAACACTGAGATGTTTGGTTGACTTTAAAATTCCATCTAGCATTTTAGCAATGTGCATTAATGTTAAATTTAATTCTAAGGAATGAACTGATAAGACCAGGAAAATATGTAGGTAATTATTAAATGGAGGTGACGTACAACAAGTAAGTCATAGAATAGTATGTATGACATAATCCTACTTATACACCTAAAGAGCAAGAAAAAGAAATTTAAAATAACTAAACATCTGATATAAATATATCAAACATTTAACCACATATTCCTATGGGGAGGAATATTTAGTTTGGGGGTGAGAGGGAGAAGAGAGGGGGTAGATAAGGTACTTTCACATACTATTCAGTGTACATCTTTATTTGAATTTTTCAAATAATCACGCTCATATATTATTTTTATAATTTAGGAGAATCTTACTTATAAATGTCTATAGAATTCAACAAATTTCAGTGTCTTAGCAGTCTGAATTTATTTTGAAAGTCTTCATCATGGAAAAATAATTGTTGAAATATGGCAAGAAATGACAAGGAACGAATCTCTTCTGTGTTAATACAATGGAAGCATAGGAATTAAGCCATTTTGATAGTTTAATTGAAATAATTAATTTTTTTTTCAGACCTCCAGGACATTCCATATTCTGATTGGTGTGAGCAGACTATCCATAATCCTTTAGAAGTGGTTCCCTCTAAATTTTCAGGGATTTCTGGATGCAGTGATGGAGTGTCTCAAGAAGGTTCAGCCAGCAGCACCAAAAGCACAGAATTGCTACTAGGTAAGTTCTCAGGTTCAAGTCCAAGCACTGTTATTAAAACTAAGGTTTGTTGTTGTTGATAGTGTTAATTAAAGTTGTCTCAAAACTGTAACAGTTTTAGTGAGTTACATTTAGCCAACTGTTGAACCTGTATGAGCTGCTGACAGGTGTACCTTCTTAGCAGTCTGCTTTCATTAGAAAGAATTTTGCTCTCAGCATAGTCAGCAGACCACGTGCAGATTATCTCAGGTTTAGATCTTAGGTAAAGTCTAAAAACATCCATGAGTTGTAATCACTTTCTATTGGAATACAGATAAAATATTTTAATCTTCTTTTCAGGTGTTAAAACAATTCCAGATGATACACCAATGTGCCGTATACTCCTTCGCAAAGAAGTTTTGAGATTAGTCATTAATTTGAGTAGTTCAGTTTCAACTAAATGTCATGAAACTGGGCTTTTAACGTAAGTAAACTATGAGGATGAGTAGTCTTCATTCTGCTTTTTATGGTGGAAAGATATTTGAAACACTTCAAAAGTCAAATTAATTAGCTTACATTCAGTAGTTCTCAACTCCGTGGCATATCTGTGTGAAGCTAGATTTTCTTCAGATACTTTAACCAAAATAACATATAGTAACAGATTAAATGCAGAAGCAGGTAATGTGAATTCATCTATCTTCTATTATCCAGACTTTAAAGAAATCTGTTAAAATGTAAAATGCTATGACTTCTCACTTTTTTAGTTTTGGAGACCGTAGTTATTTTTAATAAAATATGTGCATTAATGTTAATAAGTAATGGGTTTATTTTTTAAATGAATTAAATATTTTGAAATTTTGTTAATGTTAGTTTTTAATACGGCGATTTCGGCTATTACCCACAAAAAAAATAAACTTTTTGGAGTCCTCAATAATTTTTAAGACAAGAACCTGAGACCAGAAGTTTGAGAAAAGCTAGCCTATGTAAAACAAGTGATATTTTTATTCATTTAATTTTTCCCTGTTTTCCTTCTTTCTCTTAAAGTTGCAGAATCTTTATTGTTTTTCTAAATCATAGCTGCATGATAAAAGAAAATTCAAACTGAACCTCCAAATGTTTGATTTGCACTGTTTAAAGCAATGGCCTTCTAAAGAAATGTACCTCATGGTCTCCTGTTTTAAAAACAAAAACAAAATGAAAACTATAACACACATACCAGGGTCCCACTGCAGACCTCCTGACCAGAAGATCTGGAAGTCCTTAACCTGTTTGTTACTCCACCTGCCCTGTGGCTCATTCTGAGATGCTGTCCTAGCTAACAGCCACTGCTGGAAGGTTGAAAGATAAATAAACAGCCTAGTCAAGGATATGAGTAACTCCAGTCTATATTTAAAAACTTATTTTTATTTTAAAACTGAATTTTCAAAATATTTGAGGCATGCTAGACTGATAAATACATTTTGCAGTTTCTCATGCCAGTGAAAAAGAGTATTTCTAACTTTCTAAGAAGCATTTATGTTTTTTAAGAGATAACTCAAAACTTAAAATATCTAATTTAAGTGTGAAGTAAGAATATTTAATACTCTATATTCTTATGCCATCTAATCAATAGTTGAAGAGAAAAATATTTTAAAAATCATATTTTGGAGGAAAAACAGGCAAGGCATTATTATAATTTTTATCACATCATATTCTTTTCTTTAATTTTAGGATTAAAGAGAAATATCCTCAAACATTTGATGACATATGCCTTTACTCTGAGGTTTCCCATTTACTCTCACACTGCACATTTAGACTTCCATGTCGGAGGTTCATACAAGAATTATTTCAAGATGTACAGTTTTTACAAGTAAGTACTTCTGAAATTTGTCTTTCAAGAGTAATTTTGTGTTTGAGGGATTATATATGTTGAGACAGCAGTAAGTCATTAACTAGGTACTACTTATTTTCTAGATGCATGAAGAAGCAGAGGCTGTGTTGGCAACACCACCAAAGCAACCTATAGTTGATACATCTGCTGAATCCTGACCTCATATTTATGATGTATATAGATGTATACTATATATATTCCTATTTGCGAATTTTTCTAGAAGCCTCAGAAAATGCTGACTGGGCAATAAAGACAGGAGTGTCTTCTGTACACTGTTCCAGCAATTACTGGTACATGAACAGTTAGGACTGCAGACTTCTCTAACCAAACCAACTTCTTCTCTCCCCTTTGAGTACTTTAGGGGTTCATTGTTCATTACCACAGTTTTAAGAGTTTTAGTTACCATTTATGCAAGAGTCAAGCACTGAATACCTATATAAGGTTTTCTATATTTCTCATTTTAAGAACATAACAACAGTGGAACAATAATAGGATATGCAGAAGCACCCTTCACACAGTTATTTCTGAATTCTTTTTTTTGGGTAAATATAAAGATGCCTTGTTTGTTAACTAATTCATGGAAACCAGGAATCAGTGTCTCTGAGGCTGCATCCTATTATCACAATGGGGTGTGCTATAACTGCTTGTATTAGAGGAGGGCTTTTAGCCCTTCCGCATTTTTCTTAAAGTTTGTAACACTACTTCAAAGGTTTGTAACCTCAAAGTGAAAGAAGAGCCTCAACAACCCGGACTTATAAGTTATTTTCATGTTACTAGACTTGCATAAAATTTGTTTTCTGTGTCTTCAATGTTTAGTTGCAATGTGTTATTACAGACTATTTGAACCCAGTAAGGTTTTTCACTACAGTTCTGATTAAAATCAGAAAATCATTTTTTAATTCAAAGTATTTCCCATTTATAGAATGTATATATTTTCAGTGGACTTCTCTTTTCATCAACTTTCCATGCCGTCATTTTAAACAAGAACTTGGACAAGCACTATTAATTCAGACCTAAAGCAAAAGAAAGCATTAAATAATACTTTGGATCTCTGAGGAAAAAATAAGGTTGCACAATTTACACATTCCATGGGGAAAGAAGAGCCATATTTCCTTTTAAAAAATCATTAATGAAATGTTTTTATGATTAAACATTGTAGTGAAAAGCCTTAATTATCAAATTTTAAGCAGCAGTAATTTAATTTTTATATCAGTGTTCTTGTTTTGCACAAACTAATAAATGCAGTGATAGGTGAGTTTATCAGTACAGTAATGCCTTTATCAATTTGTGAAGTTGTTGATGAGGGCAAGGTTTTTGCGTGTTTAATTTGTGTATGTCTAAAGATATTTGGTAATCTTTACAGGAATTAAACATATATGCAAATTTGTATATAAAAAGAGCATGACCATGATCATTAGAATGCTTGTAAATGAAAGGATTATCTTTTTTGAGGTCTATATAAATAGAAAAACACCCAGCTGGACTGATTAGGACCCTTTTTTAATTCATTTGTTTATACCATTTTTACAGTTACACATCAGCTTTGACACAGTCATAGTATAATCTTTTCCCATATTACAGATCCTTTTTATAATGGGCTTGTTCTTTGAGATCTCTGTAAAGAATCCTGTGAACTAGAAAACATAACTCACAGGAATTTTTTTTTTTTCATGGCACTGAAAGTTATTGGGATGAAGCATTTCACCCCCTTTTTGACTGCACTTCAGTGAATTGTTCTTATGTGCACTGTGTAGCAACTTACATTATATATAACAAAGCAGATAAGGGCTGTAAGCTGCTGCTTATGTTAAAAAGTGGTTCTTCAGATTTTCTCTCATAAAATCCAATTGAAGATAAAACAAATAACGTTTTTCTAAACTTTATCACTGAACCCACGTGTTTATTTAAATGTCAGTAGTACTCTAAGATGTTGCCTGTACCTTGGTCTTTGGTCTTGGATGAATAAACTGCCTTCCAGAGAACCAAATGTCAGAAATACTAGACCAAATAGTGGTTAAGAACTCCAAAGGAGGTAATGTAGTAATCTTATTCATAATGGGAATAACATATTTTAGACATTCATTTTAAACACTACCTCAGTTAATATAGAGTATAAAATCTGTGGTTTAATCCCTTAAAAATTACCAGTAATTTGTCACACACAGCCATCCCCATTCCTAGATCCCACCTCACTTATCCATTCTGAAATGAAGTCTTTGTTATTACTAGCCTGAATAGTTTTTTTTCCATTATTTGAAAGACATGTATGTATACATCATAGTGTTTGCCTATAGCACTTAGTTTCGGAAGACACTCAGTTTTGTGGTTCTCAGTAATCTAAGAAAAAAACGTCTACGATTAAATGTATAGTGAGTGCTATTGGTTTATCCATGTTTCACTGACAGATCTAATACATTTTCAATTACTCGTTTGTATAAAAGTAGACTTTTATGACGAAAACACTCACATGCAGTGCCAAGTGATTAACTTAGGTATTTAAAAATATTAAATCATAGTAGAAATGGTTAGGGATGGTGTCAGTGGTAATAGAAATAATTGAGCAAATCATCTATAAATAGCCGGTAATACCAGACTGAAATACTAAAATAATGCCAATACTGTAGTTTTTCAAGATTTTAGAATCAATTTTAGTCCATATGAATTTATACTATTGATAATTACTGAATAATTTGGAGGAACTTGGGCAGTTCCGCTGGTTATAAACTGTGAATTTCTAATTGTAAAGTGAATTGTCATTTATAATCAAAATTTTTTTAAAACATTTCAGCTTCACATACTAAGTAAATACTGATAAATAAGAAAATTAGAAATTAGTATTCATAATTATGGTCTAAAATTTCTTATGCTTTTATTTCCTATTCATGCATAGATAGATTTGAAGAGGGGGGGAAGATCTGTATTCCCTAATAAAAAATTTTCTAATGAAGATTGGTAGCATAAGGACATTCTGTAAGAAAGTGACATTTAAAAGAAGCTTCTTAGGAGATAATAGACATTATTATACCAGTTACCTCTAACATCATGTGTACAAGTCCTTTTGAAATGGTGGCTTTAATAGTTTTCAGCTCCTTTATCCAGGGCTTGAGATAATTAAAGCTTAGTTTTTCAAGGTATATTACAATGGCAAAGTGTTCGTGAGGTGTTAATGCTTATTTAGATTTGTCTACTGATATTTATATAAAAAATTTTTTCATTCCATTCAGAGGATGCCTTTTATCCCCACATTAAAGCACAGATCATTAAGCAATAAAAATCATTCAAATTGTCATCCAAATTATAACTGCAATTATTTTTGCATGGTAAGAGTGAGGTGCTAATTTTCTGTGAGATGAACTTTATAAACTACCTTGGGAAAGGTCCTTTCAAAGTAAGGTTTTTTCCTCTTTTGTCCTATGCTTCCAGTTTTGTCTCAAAATCACAGTCCATTAATACATAGGAAAAAAGAAAAGGTAGAATTAACTGAGAGAGTTTTATGAGATGCTGTTGGAAGAAAAGAGTATTTCACAATTTCCAAAATGTAAGTTGGGAAAGGTCTCCCTTATCTCCCCATTCAGGAAATTTATTACCAACTTAATTTCAAGAGTATCACGACAGTGAGAATTTCATTATAAAAGCATACCAGTGAAATTAATAGCCTTGCTTATCAGACCATACTGACACCTGTGAGACTTTTATAAGAGCATTCTTTTTTTTTCTTATTTGTAGGTTCCAGAGTATTTTGCATTCATAATAGGTTTATATGACTCACACAGAATGTGGATTTTTCCCCCCTTTGGAGTATTTTTTAATGTAGGTGGATAGCTATGCCACAGCATACATAAATTGCACATTTGTTTGACTTTCTTTATAAAATATTTAATTTGAAAAATATAATTTATGCCAAAAATATAAACCTTGTAATTTTGCCACTAAATGGGTTGATTTAGCACAAATGCAAGTCTTGGGACAGATGGGGGGTGGGGGTGGGGGTGGGGAGAGAGAAAAACATTTCATAGATAACAGTTGAAAAATGTTCTATCACTGGCCTGTCAGAAACCCTAAAGCTGCATTGTAAAACAAATGGTATAAATTAGTTTTGATACGTGGTAAGGGATTGGGAAAAAAATATCAGACTTAATGTTCCCTAACCACATGATTTTTTTTTTTCATTTAATAATACGCTGCTACATATTTGGAGGTTCTGGTGTTTGTAGGTCACTGAACAGACATTGAAATCTGATTTATATTGTATAACTGTAACATAGAAAGATAAAGTATTTATATATTTTCCGCAAGAATATTTCATTGAGTTGTGTATAATTTAAATAAGGTTTGTCCCCAATGGTTTTGCTCACCTTTATTTTTTTTTTGTGGTCTTCTTGTTTTTGTATAATGTGTACAGTTTATGTCAAGGGCATTAAAAGCCTCCTGAAGCATAATCTTATCAAAGGGATACATTGTTAATAAAAAATGAATTTAAAATTCTTAAACTTGTAGTGGTGATCTACTTGAAATATTAAAACACAGTATTGTGGAAGGTGAAATGAAATGGAGTCACTTATGTCAAGGGGTTTAAAATAGAGCACAGGAGGCCATTAAGGAGATGGGCCTTATTGCACATCCTCACTGGTGTAACCATGGACTTTTAAATGGATCATACTGCAAGTATCCCAAGGACTCAGCCAGACCACCTGCAGCTTGCTACAGTAAGTGACTTTGCTTTAGTGATAGTCTTAGCAGCCTATTATATCGAGTTGGTTAGTTTTCTGTGTCCAACACCAATCAAGATTGTAAACAACGTATACAAGCCTTCCCTTCTGTCTTTAAAAACCCCTAATTTTGTTCTTTAGTGGCTCACAACTTGGGTTGCTACCTGAATCTGTGTTCCTGAATTGCAATTCTGAGACCCCAAAGAAATGCTTTTATTTAGTTCAGTTCTGCTTCTTCTTACTTGACATTTGTGGTGTCAGCAGAAGTGGGATCCAAAGTGACTTCCTACCTGGACTCTGGTGCTGCTGTCGGATTTGAGCATCATACCTGCTTGAGCACTTTGTCTTCTGTTATCTTTCCTAGGGTCCTGGGTCCTGTGGTAAGTCCTCTTGCTCCACAACTCCCTTCTTGGTTGAGGTTCTAGCCTCTGGGTATCATTTTGGTGCTGGCTTTTATGGAGTAGTTCACACTTTCCTGTCCAGATCCTTTTTAGCGTGGTTCTACCGGGGGTTGACACTCCTATCCAGTGTATGGGACTTCTGATATCACAAAATGCTGTGGAATGGCAGTCCCCCCAGTATGGGAATTCAGCTGATTTTATATTTAAGAATTATGGTCCTTTGTCCGGTAAGTTTTTGTCACTATGGAACAATATAAACAAATGACCGATAAAGATGATGTAAAATTGTGATGGCCACTTTGGGGAAATTCCTCCCAAATTAACTTATTTGTGCACACTTTTGGAAGAGGGGAATAAAACTAAGCAAAATGAATGGGAAGCCTATTTCATTTTGGAATTTTGAGGTCCCGAAGCAAATGACTCAAAACCTGCTTCTTTACAAGAAAAAAACTCCAGGCTTTCTAAAGCCAACTCTGACCTTTCTCAGAGACTATCCAAGAAAAAGCATTCTGGAGCTCCTAAACTGACTGCTGTCACCACTACTGCTACTCTGTCCCTTCGCCTTTGTCCTCCACCTATATATTACAGTTCTATAACATTCTTTAACAATCTATGCTATAACAACCTTAAAGCTCCCTGGGATAAAGCACCATTTAAAGTACTAGTTAATAAAGGTCGTTCAGGGACTGACTCCCTCTTACTACTCTTAGACTAAAGCTGAATTGTGAGCTATTAGGAATTTCCTAATGCTCTTGAAGACCCTGTAGGGTTTACTAAAAAATATAATTTGGTCATTCAAAGTTATAAACCTGGTTATTCTGATCTCTACCAATTTACTTACATACTTGTAAATTAAAGCCACACTAGGGAAGCTTTAACTTAGGTCCACCTTAAAGGGCACCCTTAAGAGAGAGTTCCAGACCTCTGAGACAATACAATGTGTTCTTTGATTGATTTAGAAGTTTCTAAAAGACAAAATGACTTCAAACCATTATAAAAGGATCCTGACTGCATACAAAAGAAAAAAACTCTTAAGTAAAACTGGCCATTTGAGCACATAATTTAGTCCTCTGCCAAAATACAATTTGGATCTGCTGTTTTAAGTTTTGTATCTGAGATGTGGTCAAAATTTCTAAACAAAAGCTATGTGATGTCTCTGTCTGTATTTGTATGTTATATATGTCACAGGTACATTTTTCTACCTTAAGGTGATATTGCCAAAATTAATTTGTAAAAGAACTATGTTTAATTAGCTTAAAGAAAATTAAGCATTTATATAAATCAAATATTACTCAGAATACAGAAACTAACCTAAATGTTTTTTAATGTTCACCTGATCTAAGGTAATCATTGATAAATAATGCCAGTTTGAGTTTACTGATTTAATGAAAAACAGACATATCTTCAGAGTTTTCACGTTAAATGTCGCGACCCTTCAGGGACCGAAGCAACACGCCCAAGGTCTTGATTCTTCTCTAGGCTTTATTGTCTAATCTCTCACGGCGGTTACAGCAGTTGTCGGGAAAAACTCCTCTCCCTCCCGGCGGGCTCCCTTATATTCAGTCACCCAACCAATCCGGGACAGTATCATGCGTGACCTTTAAGCGGATAGGTGTCACGCGCCACTCTAAGCGGGCAGCACGAGCTGTGCACGGGTACGGAAGTCTGCTGGGCCAATCCCCAACAGGGAAGAGGGGAAAGGGTGGTGAGCAGGAAGCAGGCGTCATCTTTAGGGCGTTGTCCAGCTAGAGTGGGGCTCAGCCTCGGCCGTAGGCCGGGCCCCCACATCTCCCCCTTTATTGTTTTATAACCAAAGGGCTGTCGGGATCATGCCTGTCTTAGGTCGTC